TTCCTTCTTCTCACTTTTTTTTTTTTTCTTTCTTTCTCAAAACCCTCTTTTCATCCGTGTAGCCACCGCTACTCCGGATCATCATTTCTTTCCCCCTTAGGGCTGGCTACCTTAACCCAACGATCTCCCTCTTTTGAAACAACCACTTTTGCAAATCCTCCCCCACAGCGCTAGGACCGTCATATCATGACCTATGACACGCTGCTTCCCTTCTTCAGAGTATGATGATCATGATCTTTATGTCTCGATACCTTGACAGACCAAATTGAACACAAACCAAATTGAAGACACCCCCACTTTTCCATGAACTTTACTATACTCTGCAAATCGTAGAGAATCGTACAAGAGGATCCGCAACGATATGTCCACGCCGACTCACTGATTGACACATAACTTACACACCTCGTATCCCTCATTAAACATCAAAGCATAATTCCCCTTGAGATCATCCCCTATCCCTGCCATCATCCCGAAAGTCCCGACTAAAAGCAAACAAAGAAGAGAGAAACTTACATGACTTGAGTTAATCTCCGCTTTGCTCTTCCGTGACAAATTTGAAATTCCATTCAGACAGGGAGATTGCGGCCCCAATAGATAAGGTACAGTACTGTACCTACTAAAGTTAGCTGTGAACCGGGCCAGTGGGACAGGGGTGGAGATTAAGGATGGTCCTGTCTTGTGTCCTGTAGGGAAGGTACGGAGACTGGCTGGCTGGCTGGCTGGCTGACGGGCTGGCTGACGGCTGCTATCGCCGCCCCCATAAATCTTACGCTGATGATTGGGGATTGGGCTGGGACTTTACAACAGTGGCTTATCTAGGGAGGTGGATTTGCGTTGGATGTCTCTATTAGTTGCTTTTGATTAATTCGGGGTTGGGGGAGGTTGGTTCAATCTCTGGCTGGGTTGCGTGTGTTTGATTGCCTGCCGGGTTGCTGTGATTACGGAGTATCGGAGGTACGGAGGGCGTGGAGCTTGGGGCGGAGGGGGGGGACTCGGACTTGGTGGTGTGATGATCATGATGATACCAACAGGACTTATCTTGGGGCTGTCTTACGAGGTAACAGTCTACTTTCGATCTTACTCAAAACACCAACATTCAAGTTGAACATGTCAGAAACGATTACTTTCTATTGTCAATGAGCATATAATTTTAACTGCTCGGTTTCATTGCCGTATATGGCGGACCGGCTGCCGGTCGTATATATCATAGAGGACGGTACTCGATACCGTCACGGTCGTTCTCATCATCGGTCGGCCCGCCGCGGCGCCGGCTGCCCGTCGTGGGGATCGGCTTCTCCAGCCGAAGCACCCACAGCAACATGTCCTCCAGCGGGAGGAGGATCATCCAGATGCGGTTGCAGAAGAACGAGAAGACCACCGAGAAGGTGGCGACCACCGCGTCGAGCCAGTAGTGGTTGGCGGTGGCGACGATGACCGACAGCACGAGCATGGGGTAGACGACGCCCAGGATGACGAGGAAGATATCCCGGAGGGTGATGCGGGCCGACCGCTTGCCGAACAGGCGGTGGAAGACCCCGGAGTGGTAGAAGAAGGTGTTGCCGATGCAGAAGGCGTAGGTGAAGTGCAGGCTGGGCATGGCCGCCAGCTGGTTGACCATCTTGCCGCCGACCCAGACACTTTCCGCATGCTCTTGCCGGACGGTGTCGTGGAACCCAAAGGATTCGGGCAGCAGGCGGGGCGGCATGAGGGGCCAGAAGCAGAAGATGATGAAGGCCATGAAGTTGCCGAGGGTCATCGTGCGGCGAGCGAGGGCGTAGCGCTCGAAGTCGGGGGCGGCATAGTACCACCATGAGAGGTACCTAAAAAGCACATTAGTCCTCAAATGTTCCACCGAATCATCACCAGGAAGACCTACGCGACCGTTCCAGGAATGTGGACCAGGGAGTAGATGCGGTTGAAGAAAGTCATCCAGTTCGGATGGCCGTTGATGAAGAAGGCCTGGAAGTCTGCCTCCTCGATGGGGAAGAAGATGCTGAGGAACGAGTTGTGCTCCAGGTTCAGAACCCCGATGGCATGGTCCTGGGCAAGTTGTACGACGTCGCGACCGGCGGGAGACAGGGACTGGGCCACTGCCTTGGTGCAGGAGTAGAAGAGATAGTTCATGACCCAGTAGAACATCTCAACCAGGAAAGGGAACTTCTGCAGGATGCGGCTGTGGAAGTGACGGGCAAAACGAGACGAGTTGGGCGTCTTGACCGTGAACCACAGGCAATTCCGACGCTTGGGAGGATAGTTGTTGCCGGCTCCGGGGCCCGACTGGAATTGTCCATTGATTTCCCCCTCCGATAGATTGTCAATCGAATCGTTCGCCTCTTCATCTTTCATGTACAACGGATGCGACGACCCTAGATCCCGATTGTTGTTCTTGCCGAAGATGCTGAAGTCCCTGCGACGGTTGAAGTATAGCGAGCTAAGCATGATACTGACGACTATCTGAGTCAAGAATTAGTACGATTGCTCCAAGTGACGGTGTAAACAAATGAAGCAGCACTCACAATCGGCTCAACCCATGAGTGAGAAGCGAACTGGGGCTTCCCCAGATCGACCGAGGTCGATTCGTTGCTCGATGCCATGGTGACTCCCAGCGAGTGTGTGGTACAAAAGATGAGTTGAAGAAGGGAAACCGTTGTTGAGTTCCGGGCTCAAGCGCCTAGCATCGGCGTTCAGATGCGGTTTGTGTCGATCCTGTGCAATGTTTCCTCCCGAAAAGGTGCGTGTCGCGTGGTCTACCCCTATTCGCAGGAAAGACCCTTGTCGCAGCTAGTCTCCGTTGGTATATCGAAACGAAAGAGAAGTATATACAGAAGTCGAATGAACGGATGCAGGGCTCAAGCCGCCAACGCCGACCGACGATGCTGGTGATGAAACGGTATGTACAGGGCGCTTTGTGGTCACAGGCGCAGGGACGTCGGGAGCATGAAGCGAAGCCGAGTTCCACAGAATGACGAAGAACACGCGAAGAAAAAGAAGAACGAACGCGGAGACTTGGATGAAAGATCGATGGAGAAAGAAAAAAGGAATAAGGGGGGAGAGAGTGGGGTCGAGTAAGGGAAGAAAAGGTGGTGGTGGTGGTCGTCGTCAGCAGCAACTCGAGAGAGAGCAAAGGCTCAAAGAGGCCAATTGCTATTAGTGATTCAAGATTCAAGAGGGCGCAGGAGTTTGAAGGCGGCGAGTGAGAGTCTGGCACTACTTGGGACTAGCCTTCCGGACGGCGCAGTTGCCAAGTGGGAATCCTTACTTGGTAGTAGACTATGATTAGACACTACCGTAAACCAACTAAAATCCCTAAAATCCCTAAAATCCATCGGAACCCCTGTTCCACTCCTCCCTTCCAGCCTCGCCAGTTTCCACCCAAGCCTGCTTTGCTCTCAGACACAGCCCCCCACCCACCTACTGTGAACGTGAACGTATACGAATACGGCCGTGGACAAAGCCGACTATGCCTTGTGATCGATATTTAGCGGTTTATGCCTTTCTGACGGTCGGACAACACAAGCACAAGTGGCTCAGTCTCTTGGTCGCGTGCCCGCGGGATAGTCGTGCAAGCCAACCTCGAAAGGTAGAGCCGTTGCAGCCCTGATTGATTCTTTGGCAGGGGATCGTGGAGAATGCGACTGAGGCAAAAGTTTATTTGGGACAGCCATTGACCTCTCATCGCGAGCAGCCACCGGAGGGTGGAGCAGGCAGACTTGGATCATGGTAAACATGCTGCTCGACTCTGGTCACTCGAAGTTTGTTCTGAAGAGACCACCCGGCCGTTGAGCCACTGTGAAGATCCTGGCCTCTGATTCTCAGACTCGAGAAACCCGAGACACAAAGTGAGATGTATTCATGCTTATACGCATTATACTGAAGTTGTGCGCACCTTACTCCCTGGACTCAACCAGTGCCGCCGCCGGCGCAGACGCCTTGCTAATCGCAGTCTAGCCCCATCTCATCCACCCCGAACGTTCTCAACATGAGCACTTGGCTTTATTCACCCGACCACCGGAGGATAAAATTATGCACACCGGAGGAGTCTCAGAGAATGTATTAGAGCCAAATTATGCCGCGAATATGCAGCTGTCTGGTTCGAACCATTTACATTTTCCTGAACGCCACAACCCAAAAGATGTTTCAAATCCGCTTACTCATGCTCCCGAGGCACAGGCACTAACCAATTGCAGTTAGTCTTGATTCTGATGCGGGCAGAAGCGAACATCGCAAGCTCTTCCATTTCGGACGCAACTAAATGCGCTACGGTAGGATTCTCTAGTTTCCTGAATCATGTTCATTGAGTATACACGCTATTATTCTAGTGATTCGAAGGTTCAAATCAGAGCTAATCGAGGGCAGCCACGACAGCCCAAGGCACGGTATATCTCATGTCGTACTTCGACGTTCTGCCAAACTACCAACAAAGCCACAACAAGCGGCAATCAGATTAGGGCTCAGCGCGACAGTGGCTAGAAAGAGGGTTAGAAAGGCGCGCGACAAGTGCAATGGCTGTTGTAGAAGTAGTTTGCATTGCTTGTAGAACTACTCCATGCTGAGCAGTTTTGTGAGCACCGCTGGCACACATCTGGAGGTCACCGATAAGATGAGATCTTCCCCCAGGGTATTTGACTCGTATCGTGATAGGGCAAGGTCCACGAACCAAGGACGTCGGCGGGCTGCGACACAGCATTCAATAAAGGCATCGGACGCAATGCGGAGATGCGGCCGCGTGGAGAAAAGGGCCTTGAGCGCCTCGGGCCCGTTGTCGACAGCGAGAATCTGCCCCGGGCAGACGATGCTGGCTCGACGGGTTGGGCAGAACGGCGACAATGAGATGAATGCCGCGGCGAGCTTATTCGGTCACCACTGAGCAGTGCTTCGCCAATTCCATCCTGGCCGCATCAAGATGGGAATCAGTAAGCATGGGGGGTGCGATGAGTAAAGGAAAAGATTAACTAGGGGTTACTCGGTGACAAGTGCGAACTTCTGGGTTCGTAGGTGACATGGCGTAGGGTCCTGAGAGGAGGAAGGTTTCTGAGAGTTCATCACGTACAACAGGTAACAAAGTTGGGGGACCAATGTTTTCTGGAAGATGGTAGGAACTGCAGTGCCTTTTGAATGGCCTTACCATGGCATTCGAAAGAGGGGAAAATCGGAATTCCCCCAGTGGCTTTTCTTGAGGCTTCGTGCAACCCTTTTGGACTCTTCTAGACCAGGCCATTTCCTGAGGACTTGCATTACACTGTAGTCATCCATTTTTGACGGCGGTCCTGAGGCCTCGCCTAGGCTGCCGCTCACCTCCCACCTCGGCGGTTCTTAGCACAAGTACACACGATATATCTCGCAAAATATTTGACCATATCTGGTGCTTTTGTTCGAAAAGAATCAACTGACCATGACAACACCAGGCTACTTCACCATGAGCGTGAAAACGTATTTCAATCTCAGCAAGACTCTTTACGCTATTGTCTTTGCGGTGTTCCTCAGCGGGGTCTGGACACTGAGCAAAATCGGCCGACGACCCAAAGCGTTGCCCCCTGGACCACCCACGCTCCCGATACTGGGCAACCTGCACCAGATCCCCTCCCAGAAAAGTCACCTCAAGTTTGAGAGATGGAGTCGCGAATACGGTCCTATCTACTCTCTCGTGCTCGGGACACGCCCCGTGATTGTGCTCAACTCCGCCCAAGCCGTCAAGGATCTCCTCGACCGACGCGGGGCAATCTACTCCTCTCGGCCAGAGAGCTACATGGCTCAAGCCGTGCTGAGCGGTGGATTGAGAGTACTGTTCATGGTGTGTGCTCCCTGCTTCTTCGCCTCTTAGGTAAGGTGCTCATTGAGCCATGACAGGACGATGGCTCGATGTGGAAGACAGTTCGACAGCTTGCGCATCGCATCCTCAACGTTGCAGCGGCGCGGACCTATGTCCCGTATCAGGACCTTGAGAACCGGGCCATGCTGAAGAGCATGCTGGAGGCGCCAGCGCAGTTCATCAATCACATCCGCCGCTATTCCGGCTCGTTGACGACGCAGATGGCCTTTGGGTTTCGGACCACCACTATCGAGGATTCGAAATTCAAGCAGACCTTTGATGTATGTTCCTCACATGTGGTATTATCAAGACGCGGACAAGCAAACTAACTAGGCTTGTAGATCTTCGATCGAAATTCCGAGATTACCACGTCCACGGTACTGTTACTGTCTTTCACATGATCGCAACCGTTGCACCCGATTGCTCAAGCCAAGCTAATCCTCCACCTTTTCGTCAGGCCGCGAGCTTACTAGATCTGTTTCCTATCCTCCAGTCCCTGCCGGATTGCATGCTGCCGCTGGTCCAGGAAGCGAGGGAATTGCACCGCCAGGAGTGCCAGTTGTTCCGAGAGTACTATCTGGACGCCAAACGAAGACTCCAGGATGGCACGGCCAAGGTATGTTCATCCAAAATTTATGTAAATTCCTCGCTCTTACGGAAGAGCCATCTAGCCCTGTGTATGCGTCGACCTGGTCCGCATGCAACAGACCGAGGATTTCTCCGACGACATGGCCGCCTACATCAGCGGGGCGCTGCTGCAGGCGGGCTCCGAAACGACCGCCAGCATCCTGGTGGGCTTCATCCAGGCGATGGTGATTTTCCCCGACGTCGCGCGGGCCGCCCAGGCCGAGCTGGACCGGGTCTGCGGCGACCGACTGCCCGATCTCAACGACGTGCCGGAGTTGCCCTACATCCGCGCCTGCGCGAAGGAGACCCTCCGATGGATGCCCGGCTTCCTGCTGGGGATTCCGCACGCCACGACCCAGGAGGATACGTATCTCGGGTATCGGATCCCCAAGGGGGCGACGGTGATTATGAATGTCTGGTAGGTTTACCCCCCAGCTCCTCTTGGTGCATTGTAGTAAGCACCAGAGGGACTAATACTTGAGCGGGGAAAGAATTAACAAAAGATTTTCACAAACAGGGCGCTACACTCCAACCCCGACCGGTATCCCAATCCACTCCAGTTTGAGCCAATGCGCTATATCGACGACCACCAGACCTCGGAGGAGGCGGCCACCAACGCCGACGTGCTCCAACGCGATCACTTCGTCTTCGGGGCTGGCCGCCGCCGCTGCCAAGGCATGCACATCGCGGACCGGTCGATGTATCTTGCCATCTCGCGGCTGCTGTGGGTGTTCGACCTCAAGCGAGTCATCGACCCAGTCACCAAACGGGAGGTGGTGCCCGATCCGGATGCGCTGGTGGAGGGCTTCATGGCGATGCCTAAGCCCTTCCCAGTGAATATCACCCCAAGGAGTGAGGAGAAGGCCCAACGCGTCCGGGAAGAGTGGCAGAAGGTCCGACCCATGTTGGATGAGGCGGGTCAGTGGAAGGCTGTCCCAGAAGGGTTGATCTGGAAGGATGAGGTGGAAACTGTCTGATATGACTGGACATCTTGATTGGGGGGGTGTCGAAGTTGAGGACTATAATAGGTTGCATGACTGTTGTGCTGTTTGAGAAATTCATCGTTTCCAGATTGGGAATCGTCTCTTCCATCAGTCCCGAGTAAGAGGTCGTAACTCCGCCTAGTGATTGCAACAGAGTCATATTCCGCGTGTTCTCGCGTGTTGGATCCTGCAGTCTCGCCTGCGTGATGGTGGATCGGCCATCCAACAGTGGTCACACTAGGAGATGCACGACTGTTCACGTTCTGCGAGAGAGAGAAAAGTCAGCTCAACAACGCAATCTCTCTCGTTGAAGGGTCGAAAGGCTTAAGTGTCTTAGCTTTCCCCTACAGCAAGAATTTGGCGCCCATTCTGCTGGCAAAATATACAAGTAATGATCAACTCTGCCGTTCTCCGCTGCGTCGGTGACTGGGCCTGACGACTTAGAGTGTTGGCTAGGAGTGTACGGTACATATATATGCGTTTTAATTATCATTCTGCCTTGCACTCTCCAGAATGTCCCGCTCGCTAAACAATACGGCGCATGAATTGGGCATGAATCCCCCAAGTCTCCACCACAACGAGTCGTAAAATGGGACAAACCTACATGCTGTCGGCGTTCCTGAGCAAATTACCCCACGTTATCTCAAGGCATTCACCTGTTGTTTCCACGCCGAGAATCTAGCTAGTTCCAACCATCAAAAATCACCAAGAATTCAGGAACTTGTTCCAAATAGCCCCACCTCTGAGACTTCAAATCGCTGACACATGCCCTTTGGAGGCTTACAGATGAAACTGATTGACTAATCGCTTATATGCATCTCTCGCAGATGGTGAAGTGGGGGTGGGGAACTGCTCACAGGGGACCAGTACTTGCCCAGTGTTCTTACTGCGCAATGTCGAGTTTTCTGGGTGTTTTACTGCAGTACATTCAGCCTGAACACCAACTCGATTGATAAACCATCATATCGTACTATAATAAGACTGCGCCTGCACCCAAATACTCAATTCCTCTGCGAAATAACCATGGCAGGGCTTGTGACTGGAAAAGAAAAAAGGTTTTTTTTGGGGGGGGGGGGTTCCAATCAAGGCAGGACTTTTTGTCTTCCATCTGAGAATATTCAGGCTCGTAAGGTAATCCCATTGGAGGTCATCATCAATCAAGCTTTTCCGTCTTTTCATTACTGCTCTCTTGGTTCAGGTGCAAGAATGAAACACCCAACTCATGTACTCTCTGCCTGAACCAATCGTTCTGGCTGATAGGATCAAATTGGGCTGTGCACGTCAAGTCAATAGAACTTGGTGTTTGGTGGAAGACCTTGCTTTTGATCCTCTCTCTATCTTGTGTTAGGCTCCTCGCTACCCAGGTCAAGATTCCGAGACATGAGACATACCAAGAGATCTCCAAAGCTCTGCGCTAGGTCGGTCTCAAATTCGCAGGATTCTCTCGCTTGAGTAGCCATGGTCTGAGCATCTGGATAAGTCATAGCAACATCGAAATCGACCCACACAACTCGCTCTGGGTTTCCAGGTACAACGAGAATATTCTTGGGATATACGTCATGGTGAAGAACATGAGCCCTATGGATATCGTCTAAACCTCTCATTGCAATCTCAAAGCGCTCGTCGGAATAATTTAGGCAATTGAGCCCTTCTGCATCAGGCAAATACTCAAGCAAGATTGCCTTTGGCTTGTAAACGTCATTTTCGAAATGATTCAAATGGGGGCGATAAAGTGCTGGATCAAGTTCGTCGAAATAACCATAAAATACGGGACCACGCCGTTTTGACACGCCCCATGAAGTCGCAGGTTTTTGTAAGCCTTCAATTCACATCGGAAACGATTCAGGTCACGACCCTTCTTCGAATAGCCAGGGTCGCCATTATCATGGTACTTTTAAGTTGGTTAGTATTCGTCTTCTAGGTGTAGGTTCGGTCGGACACGTACCACTTTCAAGCAATATCGTTTATTGTTATCATTGTTTAGCCTCACTTCATATATGGATGAAGCATCAGAAGATTGAAGTAGTTTGCAGATGGTGAATGCGTTAGTGCTCAGAGAGAAAGGGTCTGTACAGGTGTTGCACATTTCAAAGGTTTTTGGATTCATGACTTATAGGGTGAGGTTAACAGGTCATCGAGCGAGATGCCTAGGGACTGTGAAAAAGATTGGTAGTTATTTGCCGCTCCCCGCCGACTTGGTTAAACGAAACGGTGCCAAGTCTCCGTAGCTAGTCATATATACAAATCAATATGTGAATTACCTACTTTATGGCATCCAAAGAGAAATACTCAGGTGCTGTTACTTCTGCTCATGCTGTTCAAGCCATCGGGTAGGCACATCGGAGATAGCCCTTATTCAATGCTTTCGTGACTTTCAATCGCTCGCTGTAGATGCCCTATTTGTAAGGAATAACAACCACATCACATCACTCCTACCGCTTACCTAGTAGCCTGCGCGTCTTTCCTGAACAGGAAGCGGGGTAAAGGGTATTTACACCAACCTACAGTTCGTTCAGAGCGAAAGAGCTTATGTATCATCTTCATTTCTTGGAAGAAGTAAGATTATCCAACAGGAGTATAGAGTATTTATCATGTCTAACAGTTATGAGAGATAATAGTGACTAAGATATTATTCGAATGCTTGGATACTACTACAACTACTTTTTTTTTTTTAAAAAAAAAAACCCCCTTGAAATTAGAGCCTAGGCCGAGTCCGACAATGACTCAGATTTCTCAATATTGTATGGAATATAAGATACTGTTTGAATGGATCCCTACAATTTCCCGTTCACATCAAGTCTAATATAGCACCACTTACTACTTACTAAGCAGCCTAGAATAAGTAACACAGTCGTCTAAAAGTATAAACATCTTAAACAAAGCACATAAACTCTGACTATAGCTCAAGTTTTCACCGCTCCGTGAGTCATTGCCCCCATACCACAATGCGTTATGGGGTTGATGAATGACTCATTCCGTCATACAAATCTCAAACCTGTTACCCTGGAATTGGACCATCACACTCACCCGGCAGTTCACAGTTTCAAAAATGACGCCCCTCAGTCCACCCCCCGTACCATTGGACATCCAATATGCCCACGCCTCGGACCTGGCTGCCCTCGTGCGCGTGGAGATCCGCTCGTTCCCGGCGTCCAATTACATGCGCAGCACATACAAGGGATGCGATCCGGGGGCCGTCCACACCTTCAAAACCGTCTCCGCCCTCGAGTACTTCGCCAACCCCGAGTGCCATATCCTGGCGGGCGTCCTGGGGAGGAGTGGTGACATCATCGCCTACGGCCGCTGGCATATCCCGGCGATTTACGGGTGCGAGAGAGCCGTGAACACCGGTCTGAGCAGCGACGCGCAAGCGCAGATGCGGGATGCGTGGGCGTACGCCCCGGAGCTGGTGAACAGGGGTACCTACTCGTTCTATGAGGAGATGATCACGCGGAGTAGGGGCGCTCATCTCAGGGAGACTGATTTTGGTTCGTTGATCCCTTACATTTTGGCTACTCTGTTGAAAAAAGGTTAAGGGAGTTGATGTCAACTCATTCTGCTACGCTGGGTGAGGATTGGGCAATATTGACGACTAGAGATACGGTTAGTCCTGGAGCTGCTGTGCGTCCTACCGGAGTACCAAAGGATGGGAATCGGGAGTGCGTTCCTCGAATGGGGCATCGAGAAAGCGGACGCCTGTAACGCCCGGATCTATCTGGAGGCGACGATGGAAGGGGTGCCGACGTATTTGAAGCACGGGTGGGAGGTCGTCGAGGAGGTAGAGCTGGATTATACCGAGCGTGGTGGGGAGGGGAGTCAGAGGTTCGCGTTGATGATTAGAGAGCCCCAGGGCACTGGGTTGGGTTGATTGAGGTTCTATCATCATAGACCTACTGTTAGATCGATTGGCTTAGATACAGGTCTAATAGAATCGCCTTTTATATAATCTACTTTGAGTAGTCCTCGTGTTTTTAGCCCTTGGTTACCTTTATTTATACGCTTGTATGACTGTTTATCAGAACTTTCCAGCTTTTAAACTGTCTCATGTATCATGGAGTATCTTGACCCTCTAGGCTGATCCTCACCCCCGGTCTGATTGTATGTATGTCCGTGTCTCTATTCGCTTTCCATCAAGCCACCCCCCCGGATCCCCCCAACTCACGTACTTCCCCGATGTATCTCCACCACAAAAGAACCTACTCCTCCAGTCCACCAACCTTCTCCCCCCTCCACCACAACCACGTCACCGTAATCAACCCCTTCAACCCAACAGCGGTCCACAGCGCCCCCTCCAACCCGGCCTCACTCCTCGCCCAAGCGGCCCCGATAACGACCCCCAACAACAACCCCACCACCGCGCCCACCCGCCGCCACTCATCGGGATTCCTGACCACCTGCACCCAGCCGAACCGGTGCAGCACCGGCCCCGAAAACACATCACAGTAGATACTCGTCAGCACGACGGAGGTCAAGGCCGAGAACCCCAGCACGCGACTGGCGACCGCCTGCCCGCTACTCTGTAGCGCCACGAGCGCCAACGGCACGGCCACCGTCCACTCCAGCCGGTCCTCCGCCTTGGCGGGCCGATACACGCTGGTGATCGTCGCCGCGGCCGCGATGCACGCCGTCTGGAGGGCGAACGAGAGCGCCAGCGCCCCGCGACTGCGGGCCAAATGGCGATGGCGGTGAATCCCGGCAAAAAGCACACTCCCCGCGCAGAAGCTGCCGATCGAGAGCAGGGACTTCTGCCACCGCGCCGTCGCGTCGAGCCCCGTCAGCCCGAGGCCCGCGTACACGGTGTTGCCGGTCTGCATGGAGACGAACGAGCCCCAGATGAAGACCGCCGTCGAGTCGAGCAGGCCCGTGATTGTGTAGCAGAGCAGGAGGACGAGGTCCGTCCAGCGCTGCGTGAGCGGGGTGCTGAGGTGGGCGTGCAGGCGGGTCAGTTGGGTGTTTGTTGTTGTTGTTGTTGGTGGTGGTGGTGGGGTGGTGTTGGGGTTGTGCATGCCTCCTAGGAGGGGGTCGCGTTCGTGGGCGGGGAATTCTTGGTAGGGCATTGTGTTTGGTTCTTGGGGCATTGGGGGGAGAGGTGTGGTGGTGGTGGTGGTGGTGGTGGTGGTACTTGTGGGTTGGTTGTACTGGGTGTTCGCGGAGAGGAGCGTGACGGGAGCTGAGGCCTGATGGTGGTCAGTGTTCCTGCCGGGGTTGGGAAGTGGAAAGAAGGAAACACCTAAGGTCTGGAATTGGACTTGGGGTGATGATATCGCATTCAGGGGTTTGCCGGGCCCTGGATTGTCGAGTATGGACAATAGGACTTATTTCTAGTGCAGACAGACACGCTGCGTCGCGCTGCGTCGCGCTTCGTTGACGTCGAGATGATCCTATGACGTGGGTGCTCCGCCCTATAGGGCTGTACTTGATATGCCTCCAATCTCCATAAGTTGAGCTTGACTTGCTGGGCCGTCGGGGCTTAAACCGGTTCAAGTTTACGTGGGCGTGCCGAGGTGTTCCGAGCAAGCAAAGAAAAAAAAAAAAAAAAGAAAAAACGGGGCGGTCTCACATGGACCGACCAGGTCCACGGCGTCCGCCCCACCCTCAAAGGGATCCTGCAGACTGCAGCTCGGAAAACACAATCCACCTGATCGAGTGCTGTTATCGATTCGTGATGACATTTACGCTAGCCACAAGGCCTAACACCCAGAGACTAGTGACCCCTCATTGATGGAAAGAGTGACAGCATATACAGCCAGAAGTGAGGGATTCTTCAAGAAGGGAAGTACTATGTAGTATACATGTGCCTAATGACAGCGATGGTATTTACAAGGCTCCGGTGAGCCTAGCTTGCGTGGCATGCGGGGATGGCCCCTCGTTAGTTGGAGAACAGCCGTTGGAACCAGCTCATTTCCTCCCGCCGCTTCTTCTCCTTCGCGTTCTTAAAGCTTGCCCAGATGATTCCCGTGATATAACCACCAATGTGCGCCCAATGGTCGAGGGCAGGGGCGCGGAAGGTCATCGCCAGACGGACGACTTCAGCGGCAACAATGGTGGAAAGGATAAACCACCCACGGGCTGAGACCACTCCTTGCCAGTCCTCCGGGAGGAGGTAGAAGGTGAGATTGTCGCTGTTGAGAACATGATTAGTATGATGGTTTACCACGCGAACAAGAACGAGATGCATACTTTGCGTGGAGTATACACCAGCCTGCGACAATTCCAGAAATCGCTCCACTGGCTCCAAGTGCGGTGACAGTCCACTGGCCCAGGAGAACATGCGCCGACAGAGAAAGGAGGGATCCGACAATACCGGAAGCCATGTACAAGCACAAGAACTCGCCCCGACCGACCTCATCGTGCACTAAAGAGAAGATGTAGATTAGCTCATCGAAGACCATGGCAGGGAGGCTAAAGGGACTCACGTCGTGTGCCAACAAACCAAAGCATCACCATATTGACACTCAAATGCAAGGGCTTCTGGTGGCTGAAGACATTGCCAATGATGCTAAATGGGCGAGGATAAGCGGCAACACTGATGAAGTAGCGGTTGAGCAGTCTCCAGGATGGTGGCCATGCCCGCCATAGAGCAAAGATTCCAATGTTGATACCGATGATACCCATTAACGTGGCGGCAGCGCGAGGAGTTTCTGGCCATAGCCGATCTGCTCGGGCGGGAGGTTCATAGAACACCGCAACGGCATAGCAAAGACCCAGGGCAACCAGACTAAATATGAGCGAAGGCACGATCCGGCGACTCTATTCGCATCGTTAGACCACATCTCATGCAAGAGCTGGGGAGGAAGATTATATGCCTCACAGGCAAGGTGAGCGTACCGTTGTCATCTTAGTCACGTCAACGTCAGTCTCCATGGCACGAAGGTGGTGCTTCTGGACCCAGGCAAGAAGAGGGCGCTCGCGAGGATCCGCGCGCTCGCGGACTATATAGCAGTCAAAGGTTTAGCAATTAGCCATAACTCTTCATCAGGTCACAAATATTCTTACGTTCCAAAGCGGAGGTATCTTCGACCTTCTGCAGGGCAGTGTTCCGTTCCCTCATTTGCTTGTACTTCTCCTGATCCTGCGCCGCACCCTCCAGCCACTCTTTGCGCTTTTGTTCGTCTTCGGCCAGAAGTCGCTCTTCATTACGCTTCCGCATCTCTTGGAAAACACTCTTTCCGGAGACATCCTTGTTCTCGCCCAGCTCGGCTTCGTACTGACCACTCTGGGGCTTGTAAAGACCTAACTCCTCGGCCCGCCTGATGAGCTTCTGTTCCTCTTCCAGCTCCTCACGCTCGATACGGGCCATAATGGCAGCATCCTCGTCCATGGGGTAGTGCTCGCGAAGGTAACTCAGGGCTGCATCAAGACTGTGCGGCCGCACCGAGCGACTGATGTCGACGGGGAGATCCAGATCCAGGGTACCATTGAGTCGTCGGCCGTGAAGCACGGCGAGGACCCGGTTTCCCATGGACTGGGAGACCTTGGCACGGGCTCCGAAGATGGCATTGATGTCGGCGAGCGAGAAGGGTTCTGGGCGAGGCTTTACACCATGGTCCACGGCAGGAGGCTTGCTGGAGCGGAGCGGGGCGGAGGTCTGGAACGAACGAGTGGGAACCGGAGAGAAGACGAGCGGGTTTCGACTGTGGCGGAGCGCGGATGCATCACGGAGAGAGCAGAAGGAGCGCGCTGAGAAGAGGTTTCTGTGGCGTGAGCTCGAAGGCCGAAGGGAGGAAGCCAGATAACTGGCGAGGGGGAGCGCCTTCGGGCTGACGGAGAGGAAGAGGCTCGAGGCCCTTAGCCCCGGGCATGGAGCGCGCCATGCTATGCCCAAGACATTGCTCATAGCGAGCGACAGTAATTGGAGACCGTGCTACCACAATACAAGTTAATGACGCGGGCTGACCTGACAATGGACAAGTAGAAATTCCAAGGAAGCTGGGATCGGTCGATTTTCTCCGGCCGCCGGAAGTTGTTCCGAATGGGAATTCTTGGGTAACGTGCGCTCAACAGACGTGAACGGACGAGGACCACAAGAAAGCGCTGAGGATAATCACAACAAACCCCAGTTTGCTTCCAGTGACTGATCTCTGAGATCTGAAGTTTTACTCCCTTTGATGTCCCCGACTCTCTGTGGCTCCAACAAGCAGCACAACACTTTCGCTATACAGTAACATCGAACGTTATCGCAGTATCGTCACGTGGTGATAAACCGCCGGTATCATCTGTCGCAACGAGGATCAGAACAGACAACCAACTGACAGCACGCAGAACAAACAAAGCACCTTTTCTTTCCACAAATCTCCCTAAAATCTACCTTGCTATACCACACTACCCCAGTGACTCAGCCAATACACCTACAACCATGTCCGGCGAATCCCTCCCGATCTCTCCGGCCGCCTTCGCCGAAGCCATCCAAGAGCTACCCCTCCCCGTCCTCTACGCCAAGGTCTCCGAGATCCGAAATTCGATCGCCCACCTCCATCGCTCGAACGCAGAACTGCAGACCTTCATCGACGAGTCGTGTGAGAGTGACACCGAAAAGCGAGAGCTGGAGAGCTATATCACAGAGAATAAAGATGTGCTCACATCTATGATGGAAAGGGTCACGCTACTCAAAACGGAGGTCGAAAATCGCGGGCAACAGTGGATCGAGCTGGACGAGATAAAGGAGACAAATGGCGATACACATGAGGCCCCTGCGCATTCAAGTCAGACAAATGCTGTCTCGACGAGGGAAAATGCTTCCGGGAATACACGAGGCGGGGGACAAGAGGAGGAAGAGGAAGGTGTTTATTTGTAGGGGATTTGTTCTTGCAGCTTGCATCGTGGACTCTCTCACTCAAAGGTTTCGATTCCTATGTTGAGAAAATGTTTATTGAAGTGATTAATTGGCCCATAGACTTGTATACCCAGGACATAGTCATCTTCAATACAGTGCTACTATCTAGTGAGGCCATATGCGCTTCTCTAGCGGAAAACATACTCCCTTAGGCCAAATCTGTGACAGAAACCACAGATAATCTGGCGCTACAGCATGATTGCAAGTGAAGCTCAATTAACAAGCAGTTATCTATCAGATTCGGTGCACCTCATTGTCCAATCTAGGTAACACACTCGAGCGGGGAGATAGCTGCCCTGCAAACACTGCAAACCTATCACGTGCTCCTGGAGCCCACTGCGTCATAGGAAGGCTTCTAGATCCCATCTCGCGGATGATGTCCGCCTGATCCCCGGCGCGTCGGAGTACATATTACTACCCCTCTGTACATACAGTCCTTGTCTTTGAATGGCAGTAAACACTCCTGCCCGTCGCTCAACGCGGCGCACTCAGAGTGATCGAAACCAGCACCATGGATCGAGTGAAGATCAGCGAATTCCCCAAGTCTACAGGGAAATGCTGGCCGAGGCCGAGGCGCGAGAGCCTCAGCTCCACGATGATGACCGCACACCAAAGAGACGCAAAATGGCAGGACGAACTCAGATACCCAGCGCTCAAATAGAACTTCCAAAGGCTCCGCCATCAGTCGATAATGAAGAGACCACCAGCCGACAGGTTCAGACGGTGTATGACTCGCCCTCGTCCTCGTCCGAAGAGTCGGACATGGAGTGGGAAGACATCAGCTTGCAGCCTGCAGTCTCCGAAGCGCTATCAGATGACTCGTCGATCCAAATCACCTTGGACCGACCACAAGATCGTGAAAGACAGAAAAGAGCACTTAGACGGCAGCCGATAACGGCCGCAGAGAAGCGGTTGAGACTTGACATCCACAAAGTCCATCTTCTCTGCCTTTTACGCCACGTACAGATTCGTAATAGATGGTGCAATGATGATGAGCTTCAGGTATGTTCTGGTTCTATTATCGTTGGCACCTGTGACAGTAGCATGCGAGAATAGCTTATAACGGCTCTCCAGCTCTGACTATCGTACTAGGGCGCACTCAAGAGAATGATATCGAAGCAGGTCATATCTCTGCTGCACCCACCCGAGAGTAAACCAGAGCATTCCAGGTCTACAACGTTCATAGACGGTCTGAACCAGCTCAGTGACGCATTTAGTAAACGATTCAAAGTAACAAAGCCCGGCCTCAAGCGATCACATTGGGCTCAGGGCCCGGATGCTCTGAAGAACCGAGTGGTATTACTCACCTCTTTCATGATGTAACTGTACCCTGGTTGACCTTGGACCAGGAAACGATCCTCTCTAATGCCGAAGTGTTCACTTCGCTCGAAGATTTCAGGCAACAAGCGAAAACCTTGCAAGGATCTCGTGATTTTGGTGCACAATTGTTCTGTGCTTTGCTACGTTCCGCAGCTGTGGAGGCCCGGCTGGTCTGCTCTCTGCAGCCTCTGCCCTTCTCGGGCGCCACTAAGGAAATGACCTCGAACGTATCGACAGGCAAGACATTTATCATGGCAGCAGACAGCTCGGAGAAATCCTCGGACGATTCAACACGGGTCAAGTCACGGTCGGGTGTGCAGCGACTCACCCGGCCAGGGTTCAAACCATCACGTCCGTCGACCACTCCCAGAGAAAGTAGGCCTTCATGTTTTTCCCTGACCGAAATGATAACATGCTAATCTCTACATCGAAGTCCCATACTCTCGTAATCAAGAGTCGTCATACCCGGTGTTCTGGGTGGAAGCATTCAACGAGGCAATCAATAAATGGATCCCTGTCGACCCATTAGTCACGAGGTCCCTCGCGAAACCGTCCAAATTCGAGCCTCCTGCCACCGATCCGAACAATCTACTAAGCTACGTGGTGGCATTCGAGGACGATGCCTCCGCTCGAGATGTGACCCGCCGTTACAGCAAGGCGTTCAATGCCAAAACCCGCAAGTTCCGCGTCGAGTCCATCACCCGCAACGCAGCATGGTGGGATCGCGCACTTCGGGTCTACGAGAAACCGTTCCTCGAAGACCGCGACCAATTAGAAGTCAGTGAGCTCACGGCCAAGACCGCCGCCGAACCCATGCCTCGCAACATCCAAGATTTCAAGGACCACCCCGTCTACGCGCTGGAACGCCACCTACGACGGAGCGAGGTCATTCATCCGAAGCGAGTGATTGGACAGGTCAGCCTCGGCAAACCGGGGTCTAAAACCCAGGTCTTAGAGCTGGTATACCGCCGGTCGGACGTCCAGACTGTGCGCAGCGCCGATAAATGGTACCGGCTGGGCCGAGATATCAAAACGGGCGAACAGCCGTTGAAGCGTGTCAAAGCCCGCAAACCTTTGGCTAGCGGACTGCCCGAGGATGATGACGAAGAGCGTGATGCACCACCCCCGGAGACCCCTCTCTACGCGATCTTTCAGACTCAGGTCTACGTGCCGCCACCCGTGGTGGACGGACGAGTCCCCAAGAACGTCTACGGGAATTTGGATGTCTACGTACCTAGCATGGTCCCGGCCGGTGGGATCCATATCGGCCACCCGGATGCGGCGCATGCGGCTCGACTGCTTGGGGTTGACTTTGCGGCGGCTGTAACCGGCTTCACCTTCCAGGGACGCCACGGGACTGCTGTCTATACTGGTGTGATAGTTGCGGAGGAATATCGCGAGGCGCTTCAGGAGGTCATCGAAGGCCTCGAACAAGAAAGATTGCATGACGAGCTGGAAACGCGGACCGCAGAGGTGTTGAGAGCGTGGAAGCACCTGCTCTTGAAACTTCGAATCGCGGAGCGGGTCAAAGGCTATGCGATTGAGGGTGATGATGTCGACGAGGGTGCGAATGTTGAACCAAGCGAGGAGGGCGATGGGCCTGTGGATGACGACATGGGAGGAGGCTTCATTCCTGAAATGGACGGAGAGACACCGGGAGATGGTGGGTTCATACCTGAACCGGACACGGAGACAGCAGAACCGTCGATGGCAGGGGGCTTCCTACCGGAGTCAGACACGGAGATAGCAGGACTATCGATGGGAGGTGGTGGCTTCATACCGGCATCGGACACCGAGACACCAGACCCCTCAATAGAAGGAGGCGGCTTCCTCCCAGAACCGCCCTCACAAGGCCCCATGGACCTAGACGATGAGCCATCTACAAGTCGCAGTGCTAGCATATCGACTGCGCCTGCAGTGCCCCCACCACAGACCGCGACAGCGGAATTCAACCCTGCTACGCCTCGAGACACACCTCCACATCCAAGCCCAGCCGGACCATCGCGCTACTCGCTAGTTGTCGTCCCGAAGCCGAAAGAGGAGTTCATCGAACCCTCACCGTCAGATAACATCACCAGCGAAGCCTCCACAATCCCGCGCACTGCTCAACTCGATCGACCCAACGATAGCGCACCTTCGCAGGAACCTCTCCCCTCCGCCGCACCGGACACCAGCAAAGCGCTACCCCCGGCCGAGAATGCGTCAGCCGACGCTCCTGACCCACTCCTAAACCCCGTACAATCCCAAGCCTCGGATCCCTCCTCACGCAGAGACAGTGAGACATCATTGCTATCGCAGGATCCGGACGACGAGGATGCGATTCCAGAGTGGCTCATGTCGGATTAGTCAAGATGGTTGGATTTTGGCCAATCGCGTCTGAGTTTCTGGACTATAGAACTATAATATCGTCATTTTCGGAAAGCCAGAATCAATACGTGTAGGGATATAACGTCAAGGATGATGAACACATGAAATGCATGAATACTGTAATTTCGATAACACCTTCGTCCTTCTCTACTATACAGCATTGGCAACCCAACTTGAACCTGAATTTACAAATCCTGTCTAGTGGAAGATCTTAGCACATTCATCCACAGTCTCTCGTTCGAGTGAAAGATCAGATCTCCGACCGTACGGCGGGGTCTATTATCCCTCCGAATCAAATCAAACCAACCAACCCAGCAGGCAGCCATCCAGATCCCCGCCCTCTCACAGACCCCTCTCAATCCATGTCCCAGTGGACAAATCCCCCTCAGGCTATCGTATTCATGCAGATTAGTATAAGTTAGCCCGTTAGCCTGGCTATAGATCAAGTTCACTCGCTCCCTCGTAGAATTAGTTACAAAGTGCCAGGGAACCACGCGAGGACCCGGGGAGACAGTTCGCATTCCATGCACCTATGCATCTATATAAAAGCTAGAGCTGCGGGGCCAGTAGACTAAACTGGCTACTTTGTTCTTGTTCCTCTGCGCCCCGGACTCCGGGTTTAGTCACTTCCTCACACTCTCGAGACTGACTACTTATAAAACATATCTTGTCCATTGCGTGCGTAAACGATGAGGGTTCTATACGGTGCTTCCACGCAGCACTAACAAATACCATACCAAAGACATTCTACTCTACTTCCACACCAACCACAAGAACAAGAATACCAGAAATCCAATTCAATTGGTGTATAAGGCGACCAGTCACCTCTCTCTAAGTACCCTGAAACCAGACCAAACAAACAAGCAAACGCACACACTCATATAACCAACGATTCATTTTCATTTCTTTCGTGAAGGGTGGTTCGACTACAGCTTCTGACCAGCGGAAGCAGCGGCGACGTCCTCCTCGGAACTCATGATCTGGACCTTGATGGCGCCGGTGCGGGGGTTGGCGGCGGTCTCGAAGGCCTTGAGGGCGTCCTCGAGGGCGAAGCGGTGGGTGACGAGCTTGTGGAGGTTGATGACGCCGTTGCGGACGAGGCGGATGGCGCGGGGCCAGGTGTTGCAGTAGCGGTACTGGTACTGGAGGTCGATCTCCTGGGTGCTGAGGCGCATGAAGGGGATGGTCATCTCGTTCTTGCCGACGCCGATGACGAAGACCTTGCCGCCGAACTTGACGCTCCAGATGGCCGAGCACACGCTGCTCTCGACGCCGGTGCACTCGAGGGCGATGCGCGGGCGGAGGGTGGTCGGGCCGTCGATGTCAAAGTTTAGGTCGGCGTCGTTGAACACGCGGATCACGCCGGCGGCGTTCTCCTCGGCGGACTTCTTGGTGTCGACCTTGTAGGTGCGGACGCCCGGCACGAGGGACTGCGCGAACTGCAGCCGGCTCTCGTCGATGTCGGTGATGACGATGGGGGTGGCGCCCGCGGCGTGCGCGCTCAGCAGCGTGATCAGCCCGATGGGCCCCGCGCCCGTGATCAGGCACGGGTCGCCCAGCCGGAGCCCGCTGCGCTCGATCGCCGCCAGCGACACGCTCAGCGGCTCCAGCAGCGCCCCGTCCTCGTAGCTCATCTCGTCCCCGATCTTGTGGCACCAGATCGCCGGGTGGTTCACGTACCGCCGCAGCAGCCCGTCCACCGGCGGTGTCGACAGGAACTGCACCCGCTCGCACCCGTTGTACCGCCCCGTCAGGCACGGCTCGCACGCGTTGCAGATGATGTTGGGCTCGATGGCGACCCGGTCGCCCGGTTTGAGGGAGGTGACGTCCGGCGCGACGGCGATGATTTGGCCCGCCGACTCGTGGCCCAGGATGTGGTCGCCCGTCACGATCATCGGGCCGATGCAGCCGGCGTGCCAGAAGTGGACGTCGGATCTGGTGGTGTCGTTGATGGTTAGTTGCTCGAACTCTTCGCTTCGAAAGAAATGGGATGGTTAGGGGAAAAGACGGACCCGCAAATTCCAGTGCTGCGGACTTGGATGGTGACCTCCCCCGGCCGCAGACTCTCGCCGCTCTTCACTTCCTCCAGCGTGGGCTTGGATTCCGCGACCCACAGGTCATGCTTGGTGTTGGTGTAGACACCGATGTTGGGCTTCTCGAGCGCGGTGACGGTTGCGGTGGCCATGGTGCTGAAGACGGGGGTAGATTGGGTATAGGGCGGGGGAGTGAAGGGAAGGTGAGAAGGAGGAGGAAGAGAGGAAGAGATAGGTTGAGGATGAGGGCAAAAGCGCGGCGCAGGAAGCTTTAATAGTCAAGCTCGGAAGGGCTTGAGCCCCTCCATGATCAGCATTGGAGCTGGTTGACTGCAGACAGATGGGATCGAATGGAAAACAACTCAGAATGAAGTATGGGATGAAATGGATCCAAGTTGCCACCAATTAACTTACTACTCATGTATTTACCCGGTGGGTTCCCCGCCCAGCGGGGGTTCTTCCCGTACTCTTACTTTTCCAGTACTACGATGTAACTACTAGGTATCTATCTATAGCTAGCTAACTACTCCGTATGGTTGACGATTCCAGTCACAAGGACAAGCATAACCGGAAGATTGTCTCAGCCCAATTTAAGCCTTGGTGGATTGCATGCAAACTGCTCGGTTAATTCGCTCCTGAACATCACCAATTGAGGGCATTGGGTGTTTTATTTTATCACACCCATGCCGCGGTCACAACTTCAGAATGTGACCCTAGAGGGATTCTAGAAGTTGGCCACTTTTGCAGCGAGAGAGAGAGAGAGAGTGTGTGTATGGAATGTGTGGGGTTGATGCCCCACTATGACAAAACGGCAATTCTCCGGTGGCACCCCGCCTTTTTTGTTGTCATCCCGGAGGATTAATTATTTGTAAATATCGAGTTATCGAGTACAGTAACTACTCCGTATTCCGTATTCCGTACTCCATTATCTTGACCACCCGTTGTTGTGCACATGACCCAACCAGAGATTTACTCCAGCCTCAATCATGGATTACTCTTCCCCCTACCGGATCCAGAATCGTCAAATCTATCCCGTCGATAATGAAGAAGAAGAAGAAGAAGAAGAAGAAGAAGAAGAAGAAGAAGAAGAAGAAGAAGAAGAAGAAGAAGAAGAAGAAGAAGAAGAAGAAGAAGAGATCTATTGTCTTTTCCCTCGCTAATATACAGAGTGCACCGACCTCGTCTGCTGCTATCTTCATCACCATCGCCATCGCCCTCACAGCCGCAAAATCCCACTCTCCCGATCCACCCCACCCCGAAAGTGATCCGCCAGCACCCTCCCGCCCAGAATCGTCTCCTCCACCACGCCCTGCACATGCCGGGGCTCAATGCGCCCATACCAGATCCCCTTCCCGGCCAGCGGATGCAGCACCGCCGAAGCTGAGTCCTCCCCGACCACCGTCATCCCCGGCGGGATATACACGATGACGTTTCCAGCGTACTTGTGCCCGCCGATGTGACTGATCAGCCCGACATGCGCCCGGTCCGGGCGATCAATCCTCGCCGCGGTGTCGCCGTCGCCGTCGCCGTCGCCGTCGCCGTCGGCAGCGGCGAACCCTTTCTCGCGCAGCACGCGCTGGAACTCCGTCTCCAGGACGGGCGCCATCACGCCGCAGCGCATGTCGCGCCCGCCGTGCCCGCAGATGAGGACCACGGGCGAGTGCCGGAGGTCGATGGCCTCGGGGAGGGCGGCCGCTAGTTCCGGGCGGCGGCTGGGGCCGCCGTGTCGCGCTTTGGTGGGGAGGAGATGGGCTTGGACGAAGGTTGAGAGGTCGGTGTTCTCTGTGTTCTCCGGGGATGGTGGAGTGGGGATGGAAGGGAAGTATTTGAAGCTGGGGAAGAGGAAGGCGGAGGCTGCTGGTTGGGACGAGGACGAGGCTGGTGAGGTTTGCGATGACGGCGCGAACGAGGAATTCGTGATGAGGATGTTATGGTAGGGCTGTTCGAGGCGGCGTAGATGTCAGTGGCTATTCCTGGTGAAATTGTAGCGCTAGGGCGAGCGGATTCGCTGTTGTACAGCGGTGACAGGGCAGGGTAACAAACTTACGTCGGCGAATCGCCCGCCGCGTCCGAGTAGACCCTTCAGACCCCGCACGAGATCCCCCCAGCTGTGTCCCTCACCATCATCCTCTATGCGGCTCGTCCAGTCCCTCTGACCGGTGCACACAAGAAGCTGCTCCGCGTAGGCCGCCATTGTGCCATTGAGAGCCTGGTCGTGGTCGATCGGCGCGGGCAGATCCGGGGTGGGAGGACATGAGCAGCTGGGATCCGGGCACGACTTGGTCACTGGGAACGGCGGGGGGATGTGAAGGGGAATGCGCCCATGTCGGGATTGTACTGTAGCCGACGACGACAAGAGGCGCGCCCTGGTTGCGAGCGTTGAGCTGGGCTTGTGGGTGAGTCTGGGAAACCGGCAGCTCAAGACTGCGAGGTCGATTGTTTGTCGTGACCTTGCCATGTCCGCGGAGCCCTCGAAAGGGTCAAAATACAGGAGCTATCGAGGAGTGGATCAGGATGAGTCCAGCGAAGCGCTGTAGGGAGTCCTAGGTTCTGTAAGTGAGAGAAAACTTGAGTCGAATTATCGTTGCATGAATGCCAGAAACCCGCTCGGCATATTCGGAGACTTCGGAGATAACAATCGATGATGAATAATCCGGTAATGATGGCAGGTCCGCGCTCGCTCTTATCTTATCGGTCGATGAACCAGTCACCGGACTCAATATTCCATGATACTATACGACTGAACTCAAATAAAAAACCATAAATTGAATGAAGTCTATAGTACAGATTTAAACGAGCTAATGCTAAATATGGCAGACGAATGCAACCCAGCTGATAGTATGTACAAGAACTTGCTTCAAAGCAGATGCCGATCGGCACAACCACACACCACATCTGCCGATATCTAATAATGACCTCGACACACCCACTATCTAGAGGGCGTATAAAACTCCACGTTTATGATGAAATACACAGGTCTAGCCCATGATGCTATCCCACAGTCTTCTGCCCCATCCATCCTTGGGGTTCGAGGTCTCCCAGTTGGTGAACTGCGGTCTGCCAGTGTCAAGATCCGCCTCAAGAGGACGAACAAACGAGGTGCGGTACCACGCCTTGTGTGCGATATACAAGACCACGAAGAGGACCGGGCAGATATAGGCAACCCAGAAGTCGGAAACGTTGAAGTGAGGAATCCAGGCAGTGAATCCCTGGGTGAAGGTAATGAGGAGGTTAAAGAACAATCCGTACCACGCCAGGTAAGGCTGGCCCCAGGACTTGTAAGGCAGGGTCTCGCGAGAGATGTCGCGAGCAGCCATCGCCTTCATGAAGGCGATGTGGCTGGCGTTGATGGACGTCCAGCAAATGAACCCAGCCACACTAGAGATGTTGACGAGCCAGTTGAACACTGTGGTTCCGGAGCTCGACACGTTCATGAATCCCAGAAGACCGAAGAGAGCGGTGAAAGCAACGCTGACGTATGGCACACCACGCTGCGTGACCCAGCCAAAGCAGGAGGGCGCGAAACCTTCCTGAGCCAATCCAAGAAGAACACGGCTACCACTGTACACATTGGAGTTGGCGGCGGAGAGAACGACCGTCAGAAGAACCGCATTGATGAGACTGGGAAGAACCTTGACACCAGCCAGATTGGCGGCGATAACCATGGGCGAGGCAGATGCGTTGCCGGCATCGCTAGCGAGATTGGGGTTGTCATAAGGCACCAACAGACCGATGAAGAAAATGGTCAAGACGAAGAAGATCAGAATGCGGATGAAGGTCTTGCGAATGGCAGAAGGGACAGTCTTCTGAGGGTTCTCGGTCTCACCAGCAGCAACACCGACAAGCTCGGTACCCTGGTAAGAGAAACCAGCCTGAATGAGCACCGCCCAGAAACCGACGAACTTCCCCACCGACAAATCAGAAGTGATCAAGTAGGGCGCAAAGGCGCCAGGGTTGTGCCAATACTTGAAGCCCAAGTAGCCCTGTCTGCCGACTCCGGCGTCAATGCAGATAGCGAAGATCATGAATCCCAACACAGTCAATACCTTGGTCAGCGAGAACCAGAACTCCAACTCGCCGTAAAAGCCAACAGGAAGAAAATTGATTGCTGAGATGACAACCCAGAAAACTCCGATAAAGATAGCGACGGACAGGTTCTCGTCCCAGTATTTGACGATCATACCGGTAGCAGTCAGTTCGACGGCGTAGGTCGACGCCCAATTAAACCAATAAATCCAACCCATGGCGAAACCCAAGCTCGGATCGACGAGACGCGCGGCGTAGGAGGTAAAGGCACCGGGAACGGGGATATAGGTTGCCATCTCTCCCAGGGAGCACATGACGGAGTACACGATCGAACCGACAAAGGCGTATGCGATAAGGGCACCAGCCGGACCAGCCTCTGCCAGCGCTGTTCCACTGCTAATGAACAGACCAGTTCCAATGGTTCCTCCTATTCACCAATCAGTTCCGTAACGAACCTGTAGGAGGGGACGGGAAAACAAACCGATAGCGATCATCTGCAGATGACGGTTCTTCAAGTTGCGCTTCAGCTTGCCCTCGTCCTCGTGATCACTCTCAATATCCTTTCCATTTTCCTGCGCCGATCCGAAGCGGCGTCGCGACCGCAGCCCGCTGTTGCTGTCGGAGGAATTGGGGTCATCGACAACACTCTCGACGCCCAGCTTATTCGCGGGGGCGATGTTGTCCTGTTCGCCCATGTTGGCGGAGGGATCGAAAGACAGGTCCCGAGAGCAGAAATGCTACCGTATTGGAGTAGGTAGCGTGCCAACGACTTCGACCAGAGAGCTTGGTTTGCAGAAAGTGTGCGGCGTCACAGTGGCAGGCAAAGGCAAACGTCAGTAGGATGGGGGAGGAAGCTGGGTTAAGTGACAAATGTGGCCCTAGGCAGAGTTTTCTCCATTTTCCATTATCAAACAAAATCTGGGATGGGTGCTGCTGCCACTCGGAACCAGCGCGCATCTTGCAACCATTGGATCGGCTTTTCGTCATGTTCCATTCGGTGGGAAAGGCGGGAAAGGGAAAAAACGAGAGAATTTGCCCCACTCCCTCGGCGGGCTGGAGCTCACTATTATGTAAAGCTCTGGGCGAGGGGGGGCGACTGTCAGTTTCAGTTTCACATGGATGGAAGTCATATTTATTTACTGTGTAGAGAGATAGAAATTGGATCCTCAGTTGGCGCAATTATTTGCTCACGAGCACGGGTCTCAAATGGTCGATGTAGGATTTAAGCTCGAATTAAGCATGGGAGTTCGTGATGAGTTCATACAGACCAAATGCTTATCGATTGGGATCACGTGGCTCATACTCGTAGTCCGACCGTTCGAGAAAATATCACGTGGTTGACACGCCCCGGCGGAACTCCGGTGGCGTTGTTTCCGACCGGCGCTAGAAGTCTGGATGGAATCAGAAGAACCTTCCACTTTTTGGTAGGCAAACTGTATGTGGCAGTAGGCACTTTGGCACTAGCATTTGTCTTCTCATCAAGCTGCCATCGGAAGTGCGGGTCCATCAGGCACCGGGAAAATTGGTACAGTACATTAGGGCCACTCCTTCGCCCTGAGTTCAGGGCGCCGGGGCGGTTGCTGTGTGCTTCTCACATAAGAATAGCGAATTGCCCACATAATTGACTGGCAGGATGGCCCGTAAGGAATTCGACGAGCGCACTGTGTAACTTCTGTCCTACGGGACTGAGTATTCGCTTCTTCGATACACCCGTACACTCGCTTGAATCTCGGTATGGCTGGGACTTCCTGGTGAACCTGGGCTGTCCGGATAAAAAGCCCAGGAAAGTTTTTCTTAGCCGATTGTCATCACCAATGGATATGAGTCAGGACAATTGGCAATTGTTATCAGTTTGCCTCCCCCGGACTGCAAACGCTGCAAACGCTGCAAACAGACGAGTCACCGGGGTCGCTGCTCGCATCACGTGACGCTATGTACATCACTTGAGTCATACACCGCCATCGACGATCGAGTTATATAGCCGGTCTGGATACTTGCTACAGCTCAATTCCAACCCCGACACAGCTACCTCAATCATGCCCGGCGCTTTCCGAATGACCGCTGCGCGGTGCAGCTCGGCCACCCGCCAGCTGCTGCAGCACCAAGCCTCGCAGACCCTGCCGCCGACCTCGCCCTTCGCGCCGCGCCATCTGCTCTCGATCGCGGACCTGACGCCGACCGAGTTCGCGACGCTGGTGCGCAACGCCTCGGCCCACAAGCGCGCCATCAAGTCCGGCGCGATCCCGCAGAACCTGCTGGGCGCGCTGACGGGCCAGACAGTGGCGATGATGTTCAGCAAGCGGAGCACGCGGACGCGGATCTCGACCGAGGGCGCGGTGGTGCAGATGGGCGGCCACCCGATGTTTCTGGGCAAGGACGACATCCAGCTCGGGGTCAACGAGTCGCTGTACGACACCGCGGTGGTGGTCTCGTCGATGGTCTCGTGCATCGTCGCGCGCGTGGGCCCGCACGCCGACGTCGCCGGCCTCGCCCAGCACTCCTCCGTCCCCGTCATCAACGCCCTCTGCGACTCCTTCCACCCGCTGCAGGCCATCGCCGACTTCCAGACCCTCCACGAGACCTTCACCCCGAAGGCGCACCACCTCTCCAGCCTCGGCCTCGAGGGGCTGAAGATCGCCTGGATCGGCGACGCCAACAACGTCCTCTTCGACATGGCCATCAGCGCCGCCAAGATGGGCGTCGAAATCGCCGTCGCCACCCCCAAGGGCTACGAGATCCCCGCCCCGATGCTGGAGCTCATCCAGCAGGCCGGCCAGAACGTCCAGAACCCGGGCAAGCTCATCCAGACGAATATCCCCGAGGAGGCGGTCAAGGGCGCCGACGTGCTGGTCACGGATACCTGGGTCTCGATGGGCCAGGAGGCCGAGGCCCGCAAGCGCCTCCAGGACTTCGCCGGCTTCCAGATCACCCCCGAGCTGGCCAAGCGCGGCGGCGCCAACGAGGGCTGGAAGTTCATGCACTGCCTGCCCCGTCACCCCGAGGAGGTCAGCGATGAGGTCTTCTACAGCAAACGCTCCTTGGTCTTCCCCGAGGCCGAGAACCGTCTGTGGGCTGCCATCTCCGCCTTGGAGGGGTTCGTCGTGAACAAGGGCAAGATCGAGTAGATGGGGAAATTTGGGATCGTGTACTTTTGAACGAAAAAAAGCTCCTGTTTCTGTTTTAATGAGCGTGTATAAGCACTTTATCCGGTGGAGTATGTTGAGGCGGGAGGGGGGGTGTCTAAGCACTATTCCAATGAATTGCATGGACCCGAATTTGAGTCCTGAGGCTATTTTGATTTCATTCAAGGCTCATATAAGTGTGCGGTAATAGGAGGTTAGTGTCTATCGTTTGGTAGATAAGAGTATTCATGCATCCGTCACTTGAGAGAGATGTGCATTACAGGCTTGAAACTCGCCCAAATTCAGACCTTCGTTTCATGCTCAACAACATCGGTATATCGTATCTCCAACCTGGGAGTATATGCGGGCTATGTAGAAGCTAATTACTCATCGGTGCTCGATCAACGCACTTATACGAAGCCATTCTTATAGGGGTTCACCCGTCACGCCTAATCTTTCGGTGGACCATCTTCCAGCACCAACTGGCTCCGTCTCACCGACCTTGACTTTCCCTCTGCATCCGCGCCTGCCAGCCATCCACATTACTCCGACGGATCCCCAGGGTCCTTCGCATCGTCGTTGGCGGTTGGTTCTGGACCATTGCCATTGTGGTCGTGTGGAACGTGCTGACGGGCCGAGATAGCTGGTCGGTACTTGCAGAATATGTATTCATACTGCCAGCTGATGTCGGCTGAACAGAAGTTTCGTGGCTGTTCTGGACTAGAGACTTGGGCATCCGCGAGAGGTCCGTGGGCTCGGCCAGCCACGTGTATGCATTCGGATGCGATGGTTCGAGGGCGGGTCGCTGTGGTTGCAGCCGCTGCACTTGCGGTCGATGCATGGTGTATGGTTTCGGAATCGATCCTTTCGCCGCGGCATTCGTCGGTCTCGTCTGAACTGGGGGTACAGACAACGTCCCTCTCTGGCCTGACACTGAGAGAGTTTTGGCACTAACCTCGACCTCCGGCGTAGTAGCTGGCGAGGAGGGCAGTCCTAGGAAGCTGGAAAGTGTCTTCTGGGAAGCGTCGGGCCTACGACCGGGACCACTGCCAATCGCCTTCCTCTTGGCACCGGGTTTTGCGGTGGCTGGATCCTCGACCACGGCATTGCTTGCAGCGATGTAATTTCGGGCTGATGAGAATCCTAGGGATGGAGTAGGAAGCCATGTGTCAGTTTCAGCAGTTTGCGGCTGGTCAAACCGCTTTCTCTTCGAGTACGGCCCCTCGACCATTGCTCTCCGATCACCATATTGAAGCGAAGGATCGACTTGCTCGTATCCTTCCTTCGTCCACCGGTCATCAAACAATGATGTAAGTGTGCTTTGGGCTTCTTGTATGGCTACTTCCTCCGGTTTAGGTCGATGCAGGATGTCTGCGATCCCATGAACGACATCGTCGCTGAAGACAGGGCCGACCAAGCGGAACCTATTGCCGACTACTTCCTCCGGAAGGAAATTGGACAGTTTGGTCATCTCGCCTCCCTGCGACTGTTCGAGGGGCTGGCTCAAGTAGAGCAGTGCTTGCGCTCGGGTCATTGCTACGTAGAGCAGCCTCCGTTCTTCGTCGGAGTCTTCGGCGCGTGAGTGGGGGATGCTGCCATTGTACACGGCGGGAACAAAGACAACGGGCCATTCGAGTCCCTTTGCCGCATGGATGGTCGAGATCGTGACTTTCTCGTTTGAGACATTCGCTTCCGAGCCTTCCTCTTGCAGTGTGACCTCGCTGGACAGCGCCACATTCGCGAGAAACCGAGACAATGCTTCTTCCCCGGGGTGCGCCTGTTGCTGCTCAAGGCCCTCTATCACCGGGAGACTTTCGGTTTCGGGATTTTGGGCGTCTGACCCAGATGTATCGTCTGCCTGGGTCAGCAGCTCCTCCACATTGGCCCACCGGTTTTCCTCATTAGATCCGTGCAAGGTTTTGAGATACTCTCGAAAGTTTAGTTTCTTAATCACGTGGTCAAGGAGGATCCGTGGCGATGAACTATCAGTGGTGTCACTGAGCTTCTTCCGAGCAGATTCGATAATTCCAACAAATGTGCAAAGGCCCTGATTAGTGAGCTTTGAAAGAGTGCAATCGGCTGACCGGTGGCCTTGCGCGACACCCTTGATATAGTCCCAGAGTGGCAATTTCGCTTTCTCGGCGCCGGTGGTGAGCGCCTTGATTGTCTCTTCTCCGATTCTTCTAGACGGCGTATTGATGACACGGGTAAGGGCTTCACTGTTCTGCGGATGACTGATGACCCGGAGGTAGTCCAGAAGCAGCTTGATCTCGACTCGGTCAAAGAATTTCGAGCCTCCAACCATCCGGTACGGAATTCCATTCTTTCCCATTGCTGACTCGATACGTCGAGAAAGAGCCGCCGTCCTAAGCAATACGGCAAAGTCGGAGTAATTGAGGAGCTTGCCTGTCGTCCCGATACAACGTTTAATCTCGAGCACGATCCATCGCGCCTCAGCTTCGGCATCTACCAGTTTCCGCAGCACAGGCATGGTTCCCACGCTGTGTGTTGGCTGCAGCTTCTTCGCTGGTCTGGAGGTGTCTTGCTCGATGACATCCTGTGCCGAATTCAGGATAGACCCAGACGACCGATAGTTGTTCTCCAGTAAGACAACAGATGTGTCGCGGTATAGTTTCTGCATGCGTGCCAAATTCTTGATCTCTGCGGAGCGGAACCCATAGATGCTTTGATCCGGGTCGCCGACGATGGTGATGCGCTTGTTCTGGGATGCAAAGAGATTCATGAGCTCATACTGGATGAGGTTGGTGTCCTGGAATTCGTCTACCAGGACGGCTTGGATATTCGAAACACATTTCGGATGCTGTCTCAGGAGGTCGGCGCATCGCACAAGCAGGTCGTCGTAGTCCAGCAGATTCGACTCCGCCAGGTGCCTTTCATACTCGCGGTAGACCTGGACGAAGTCCCATTGCTCCGTGGTCTTGTTCTTTGTCTGTATCCTTGCTGCAACCTCGTCTGGACCGACGCCCTGGGCTTTCTGGCGAGAGATCCGTCCTCTAGCGGCTCCAGGCTCGATACTGACGCGCAGCCGCTTGATGATTTTCTGCCCATTGTCACAAGTCAATATAGCTTCACCATGAAGACGGTCGCGCGAAGATCAACAAGAAAGAGCCTTGACCCACTTTGATGATAGACGTACTGTCACCGGAGTCGGCGATCCCGAAGCCTTTCTTCAATCCGATCAAGTGGCCGTAAATTACGAGATACCGCCGGCAGATCGAATGGAAGGTTCCCAGGAGCAGTCTTTTCTGTAAGTCCTCACCAATCAACTTGGTCAGCCTCTCTCGCATCTCCCGGCTGGCTTTGATAGTGAACGTGCAACAGATGACATCTTGAGGGCGGTAATTGTGATGCGCCAGAAGGTACGCGACGCGCGCCGTCAGGGTCTTTGTCTTGCCCGAACCCGGTGGCGCGAGGACCTGCAAGATAGAAGCCGGGGATGTCACAGCAGTGGACTGGGAGTAATTGAGACCATCTAGGATACAGTCCATTGCTGATCACCCATGAGTTGCCGGATCATCGATAAGATAATGATTTGGGTATGATGAGGTAGATGTTGTTTTCTGGTGACGCGAAGAAGACGCGCTATCATGTGACACGGGCAGCTGGAAGTCATCGTCACGTGAATCAACAACGCTCTCCATCTTAATGTTTTTGTTGTGTAACCTTATCAAACCACTCTTGAAATATGGTCTAAGAAGATTAGAATGTAGCGGAGATGGTGTACCTGACCTGAAAGTATTTGACAAAACTCAAATTGTGAGGTTTTGCTTCCAGCTGTTGCGGGTCTCTATGACCTTTTGACAAGTTCAATTTTATGTTTTGCGGATTCCAGTATTCCAGTTTTGACTGAACAAGGCTTCGCGAAGACTTTACCAGAGCTTTACTATGCTCTCATTGAAAGGCATATGCCGAGACTAGTGTTGCAAACCGCAACAGGCCATGTCCTAGTCGGCTATATTATAGTGGTTTTACCCGTACAAACTCCTCTTTGCAGAGCCACTTGGTTTATCAGATTAGATCATCAGATTAGATCTGCGACAGAATGTGTTCAGCAGAAAGAAGGAGGACAGCCTAACTTATTTCCTGTTCTCCCTAAGTTCCAATGCTTTATTCGAGTTGAAACGCCCCGCTGGGTTCTCCCTCCTTCATCCTTGACTAATGACAATCACGCTTGCTAAGTTCCTCAGCTCAATAGCCGCCGAGAGTGATTACTTATTTCATCTAGCCAAGCGGGTCTCGCCTTGACAGGCTGGAATCAAGGCAAGCTTCGTATTTATCCATCCCGCCTAGGCAGGCTTGCTGTCATTACTCTGTTTTTTTAACGATCTTCTGGTACTTGTCCTGATGGAACAGATCGAATTTTCATAATGCTCCTCCCAGGCCAGAAGCCCTTTTCATTTGGAAGCAAATTCCAGTGAAAAGGACACCCAAGTCTTGATATTGTGGATATCTTCGTCTCTCGGAGTGATCATCATTCCGAAATTGATTCCCTCTTTGATCTCAATTCAGATTGTGACGGTACAGTGGAAACAACATAGTCCACAACCTTACATGACTCGAACTAGCCCGAACGACAGTAATCCAGGTTCACTGTACTGTACCTTTAGCCGAGGCAGCACAGATACTTCCGAGGGTCTCGAGCGCAAGGCCTACTTCTCGAGACGTACATTTACCAGTTGGCCTGTCAGGCTTGATCCGATTGATAATTCCGAGAATCCTACCAGGATCGCAGACTGCAGTCGGCAGGGTAACCAAGATAGGCAAAATCGGGTGTTGCCGTCCATCAGCCAAGTATAATCCTTGCATGTATGGAGTTTGAGCGGATGAGAGACTTTTCCTTTGGCCTACAGTTGCAACTGTTTGATCCACGTTTTGTTCTGCATGGTGGCCTGTGCGGTTGCATTGCATGTGAGACAGCTATGCCTGCGTCTCGGGACATAATGGCATTCTTTGAAGGTGGTAACTTTGCGATTGGAAGATGGTATTACTTGTTTTGTCAAATCCTGTCTGGTAATCTCCATACATGGTTTGGTTGTAATGACCTCTAATGAATTCAGTTCAGTCACTGATGAGCAACGTCTGCAGGCATGGCATGCATGACATTAGGGCTGTATACGTGGGAATTTTTCGAGACATATCTCTGAATAGTGAGTCTTCTGGGTAATGGGCAGTAATTAAATACTTGCCCCAGCTTCTGTTTGTGCTATAAGCAGGACTTGCACGGGTGCCCCTAGTATTGGGGCGAAGTATGAAGCAGCCCGTATGATACAGATGACGTACTGTACTGCCAATCTGACAGATTACAGTCATAATGTAACCTTGGTTCTGCTGTACCGAATGTTATCTGATCCGGTAAATTACATACCAGGGGTTTGATACGGCAGTGTCGAGGAGGGGTAAACCTTGGAAGGCATGGCCCAGCCGGGAGGGGTACTTGATCTATTTTTCTTTCCATCTTTGCTCTCCCCCTTCATCAATCACTCAGTCTCCTGCTATCTCCGACAACATTCCGATACTTCTTCTAGGCACTTCGGGCAAGAACGTCAAAAGTGGAGTCGGGTCAGGTTCTGGGTCTTCCCGGGTTGTCTCTCTTCCTGCAAACCGCACATCTGCAGAATTCAGTCCGACGACCGATGTGGGGATGCGACTGGGTTTAATATCATCTCGGTCCAATGGTGGACTGGCCACTCCAGTCCGCAGCCAAGAATCGCGCGAGTCCAAAGATCCATTCCGACGAGGCCTTCACGACGCCCCATTGGAGTGATAATGCAAAGTGGATTCCGCGACCGGTTTGAGACAATGATGAAATTGAAGCCCCTCTCTTCTCCCCCGGGCTTGACCGGATAGATTTTTTTTAATCTGATAAGATCCCAGGACCCCCGGCGGCTGGCTCCTTGTTTGTGTCTTGCTCTGTCTGTTAGTTTTCTCATCCATCACTTTCCGTCACAATGGCTACTGTACGGCGTCTTCAGCAGACTTTGTCTCACTTCCAGTCCCCTCGGACGACTCAGCAACTCTCAATCGTGCAGGGTCCCACAGAGCCGGCTTTGCTGGATATCACTTTGGGTGAGCTGCTGACGCTCCAGAGCCTTCACTATGGCGACTACGAATGCTTGGTCTTTCCCTGGACGGGAGCTCGCTGGACGTATACCAACCTGAACGATGAGGCCGACCGGCTGGCTCGGGGCCTGCTGGCGATGGGAATCCAGAAGGGCGACCGTATCGGTATCATGGCCGGCAATTGCGAGCAGTACATCGCAGTCTTCTTCGCCGCGGCGCGCGTCGGAGCCATCCTGGTGGTGTTGAACAATACGTACACTCCTTCCGAGCTCTACTATGCTCTTGATCATACAGGTTCGTTGCTATCCGCTTGCTTGATTGACAGCAGCAATAGCTGACTTAAGCGCCGTCTTCCTTCAGACGTTCGTGTGTTGTTTATGACCCCTCGCATTGGCCGTCACTCTCTGGAAGAGGTTTTGGAGAAGATGGGTCCCAAGCCCAAGCAAGCCGGCAACTCTGTCGCACTGGAGGAGATTGTCATTCTGCGGGGAGAGTACCAGAACTTCAGCACTTACAACGACGTCATTCACCGCGGGTCATCGCTCCCCAGCTCTGCCTTGCCCAACCGCGAAATGGAACTGAGCCCCGCCGATGTCTGCAATCTCCAATTCACCAGTGGCTCGACGGGAAACCCCAAGGCTGCTATGCTCACACATCAGTAAGTATTCAAAGCTAGATGGGGGTGATGCAAGACATGCACACTCACCTACATCAATCCGCTGGTGAGCATCTTGACTGACCGAAGCTGCGTCTGATAGTAACCTCGTCAACAACTCGCGCTTCATCGGCGACCGCATGGACCTGACCTCCTTCGACGTCCTCTGCTGCCCCCCTCCTCTGTTCCACTGCTTCGGCCTGGTGCTGGGCATGCTGGCTGTCGTGACCCATGGATCCAAGATCGTCTTCCCCAGCGAAACCTTTGACCCCAAGGCTGTTCTCCACGCCATCTCCGACGAGAAGTGCACCGCGTTGCACGGAGTCCCCACGATGTTCGAGGCTATCCTGGCCCTCCCCAAGCCCCCCAAATTCGACACCCGCAACCTCCGCACTGGAATCATTGCGGGAGCACCAGTCCCTCGGCCCCTGATGAAGCGACTCTTCGAGGAGCTGAACATGACGCAATACACCAGCAGCTACGGTAAGCGCTGATGCTCTGGGAGACATCCAATTACACAATTGATTAATGTGTCTTCTACTCTGAACAGGTCTCACCGAAGCGTCTCCCACATGTTTCAACGCGCTCACCACGGATACCATCGAGACCCGACTGAAGACAGTAGGCAAGGTCATGCCTCATGCCCGGGCCAAGATCATCGATGCCGAAGGCAACATCGTCCCTGTTGGTCAGCGCGGGGAGCTCTGCATCGCCGGGTACCAGTTGACCAAGGGCTACTGGAACAACCCGGATAAGACGGCGGAGACTCTCACCACGGATGCGGAGGGCACGACCTGGTTGAAGACGGGCGACGAGGCCATCTTCACACCGGAAGGTTACTGCACGATCACCGGTCGCTTCAAGGACATCATCATCCGCGGTACGTGACTGACCCCCTCTTCGTCACTGTTACTATATCAGACCATCAAACGACTAATGTTGCGGGAACAGGCGGAGAGAACATCTACCCCCTCGAGATCGAGGAGCGGCTCGCCGCCCACCCGGCCATCGAGCTCGCCTCCGTCATCGGCGTCCCCGACCAGAAGTACGGCGAGGTGGTGGGCGCCTTCATCGCGATCGCCGCCGGCCACGAGGCCCAGCGGCCGTCGGTCGACGAGCTGCGCAACTGGACCCGCGAGACGCTTGGGTGGCACAAGGCCCCGCAGCACGTGTTTGTGTTCGGCGAGGAGGGCATCGACCGCACCGTCCCCGTAACGGGGAGCGGCAAGGTGCGCAAGGTCGACTTGCGCAAGGTCGCTGCTCAGGTGTTGGAGCAGCGCGGGCAAGCTACAGCTGCAGCTACGGCTTGAGCCTGGGGTGGGATGGGATAGATTTGGATTTTGTTTCTGGTTTAAAATGTGATAATACCCTTTTCTTTTCTTTATAAAAAGTCTTCAGTAGAATTGTCTTATGCCTAGTGAATTATTGCCAGTGTTTGGGAAACGCGATACAGCGAAGCTTGAAGAGCATTGTAAAAGTGAAAGACCCGTTCGAAAACAACAGCGTCATCGAGCACCCATGAGGAAAATCCCAACCTCGGAACCCAAACGGATCAGATGTGGTGTCACTCCATCTGATCTGATTAGATGATATGATCATCTAATCTGATTGGATAAAAGTCCGCGCCCCGTGGTCGACCCGGCAGACGGTGGGCATCCACCCTACCTGCCCGCGCTGCCATGCGCCGCCAGAACACAGAAGAAAAATGCACAAAAAAGACCCGAGGAAAAAGGGATCCACTTCTCGGCAGCCTCGCACGGCAGGAGTTTTGTCACTTCTACCACTCGAGAACTCCCCTGGAGAGTAAAACCAATCATCCCCATCGCTCGTTTCTTCACAGCTACGTAGAACCTCATCCAGAGAGTCAGCCAATTCCCACCGGGTAAAAGGCATTGGTGCAGTGACGGGCTACAGCGGTTAAGGATTAATCAATCCACTTGCGCGTTGGATGGAGTGGGGGGAGAATAGAGGGGAAAAGAGGGAAGGAAGGGTGGCTGGCACGATAGTGAGTCAATTTCGAAGGATTTCGATTTCTTGTCCATGGATGTGTGTGTGTGGGCGTGCTCTTGTGGGCAGTGAGTGGCTTCTTTTCTCTTTCTGGGTGGGTGGATATTTTGGGAGGACGTTTGGGCTAGTTCTGTTACGGGTGGGGACTGCGTTGGGTCTGAGTATTGTATTGTTTATACGACACTGGTGAGATTGTATGTATGTACCCGTATTGAGATTCAAGGAAGGGTAATTGTGTATTGTAATGCACGTTCTCTATTGATGATACGTGCAGGATGTAGTATAAGATTGCTTACAGTCTATAAATAAGCGGACTGGCTCTGCTTTGGATACCGTACTGTGCAGTGCAATCCCTGAATGAGATTTAAGGATATCCACCTTTGCATTGTAGATAGGCTTATTTGAATGAACTTAGTTTCATCAACAGCAGATCTAGTAGTGTCGGCCAATTCAAAACTAGTAACACCCTAGGCTAGATTGCCCTTACAAGGAACACATAAGTTAATTCTAAGTTATCGTCCAGTCTACCGATCCATCTTCCATCTTTATTCCTCATTGAACACCAGAACCACACTGTATAATCTTATCCAGGATACAACTTACATAATACCACCTCCCAGCTCGACCACATCAAGAAGCAGTAGAATACGCCCTCCCATAGAACCCAACCCATACAACCACTCATCCTATGCGCACCCTCCGACCCACGAAACCCGGCTTCTCTCCTTCTTCCGCTCACATAGCCACACTCATTCGAATTATGGCGAAAACTCCACCCCATTTCAACAATCATCCGATATGGTGTAGTGGCTAACATCGCCGTCTCTCACACGGCAGCCGGGGGTTCGATTCCCCCTATCGGAGTTCGCTTTTTTGGTGTGCTTCGCTTTTGCCCGCGACTCGCCTGGCGAGGATGGAGATCTTATTCTTATCTATCCTAATCGAAATTCGAGTTCTGGGGAGTGATGCAGCATTCCTCGGCAGGTGGTTCCGGCCACGGGCCGTGGTCGCCCGCGCCTTCTCTTTTCGTGTGGTGGTTGGCGTCGCCGGACCGGCACCACGTTTGTACAGTACCTTGTTTGCTTGGGCTTGGGGCTTGGGGCTTGGGTTTGGGTTGAGGATCTTGAGGACTTGGGTTGAACTTCGTGATCTCTAGCCTATCAAGGGTGGTTGATTCCACCCGCTGGATTATACGGGAATACTTAAATGGTACCGTACAGATTTTGCCGGTGCACGGTGGATGTTATCATCCATGCAACCCTGGTATACAATGGCTTCTCAAAGCAGTGCATGTGTAAAATCTACAAGGTCTATAATCACCACTCCACCAAACAGCACATGCAATCTCCAGAGTCGGACTCCTCCCTAAACCCGAACCACCTTCCCCGGCTCCAACTCAACAACCTCCGTCCTTCCCCCAGCAACAACCTCAACAGTGACCGACGCCATCGCCTCAACCTCCACCGGCCCATCCGTCCCCCAACTCACCTTCACCTCCCCAGCAGGAGTCCACAACCACCCCTCCGCCCGCTCCACCAGCTCCCGCCGCGGCTCGATCCGGATCCTTGGAGCCCCCGCAAACCCCGGCGTCACGCCAAAGACCTGCGTGACCAGCTCGTTGACCGGACAGGCACTCCAACCGTGACAGTCACTGCGCGCGTTGACGTCGTCCTCGGCCCAAGTCGTCAGATTCTCGGCCATCATGGCGCGCCACGGCTCGAGCAGGCGGTGGAACACCTCCGCGTAGACGCCGGCCTTCTCGGCGGCGCGGAAGACGTAGAACTTCATCGCGTAGGAGCACTGCGGGAGGAGGGGGGACTCCTCAACGCACCGGCGCATGAGGCTCGTCGCTGCGTCGCCCGTGACGGTCTCCGATAGGATGGCGAAGATCTGCGTGTGTTGGCTGTATTGCTCCACGCCGGGGCCGTCTGTGTATAGCCCGTCCCGACCCTTGCAGTGCCGGTTCACGGCGCGGCGGAGGGCGTCGGCGCGGGCGCGGTATTCGGTGGCGGTGTCGTTGCGTCCTGCAAAAATGCAGAGGTCGGCGGCATGGAGGAGGGTCATTGCGTAGAGGAGGCTGTTGATGGTTGCGGCGCCGGCGCTGTGGGAGTGGTAGGCGGGCGGCATGCACGATTGGAAGATCTGGCCGGGCACGAACCATTCCTTGACCCAGTCGACGAAGGGCCAGGTGATTGGCTCGAACTGGCCCACCAGCCCCCGGCTGTCGAGACGCTGGTCGAAGTGGTTCAGGATGCTGTCGACTGTACCCAGGTACCGGCGGACGAGGGTCTGGTCGCCGAAGTACCGCATGTGGTCGTGCACCATCAGGATGAAGTAGAGGGAGAACTGCGGGATCTGCTTGAGCGGGAGGCCCGTGGGGTACTGGGCGATGATGAGGCCGTCGGCGGTGCGGCTGGCGTGGAACTCCTCCATGGTCTTCCGGGCTAAGCGGTCGTCCGGCGAGAGCTGGTAGTTGAAGAGCATCTGGAGCCGCGAGTCGGATGCGAACTGGTTCTGCTCGTAGAATGGACAGTCCTCGAAGGTTTCGTGGCGGCAGTTCTTGAGCGTGTGCAGACTTATGTCCCAAATCTTGGTGAGTTCGTCGCCTGCTTGGATCTTCGTCTTGATGTCCAGTGGGTACGATGTCTCTCGCAGGGATATCCGGTCCAGCGTCAAAGGCTGGTCGGCCGTGGTGATCTCGATCTGCGCGTAGCGGAAACAGCGGAACCAGAATGGCTCGAACGAGTGCGTCTCCCGGCCAGCCGTAACAGTGTAATAGTCCCTAGGCCCGTAGAGCCGACCGCTGACGTCCGCGCGGTTGGCCTTGGTTCGTGGCATGGGAAAAGGAGCGGTATCCACCCCGAGATCCTTCTCGTAGCACTCCGCATACAGCATTGTGATCTGTGCGCCAGACCCTCCGCTGAACGACAGGTTGATGAAAGCAGTCATGAGTTCGTCCACGCTCAAGTCGACCTTTACGCTCTCACCCGCCGGAATGACGACAGGCTGACCACTGGATACGAGCGCCTGCCAGTCTTCCGCTCGAGCTACACCGGATGACTTGGCGACTCCATCGAAACCGCACGGTATCTCCGGCAGCGGAGGGATCGGCCGCGGGCTAAGCTGCCAATGGCTCACAATGGGCATCATCTTGACCGCGTTGGACTGCACGACAGCAGCCTCCCATGCGGAGTCATCGTATCCAGCGTCCTGCCAACCACACAGGGCCGGATCCTCCTCGACACGCTCATTGTTCGCCATGAACGGCGGTCCCAGCAGGAAATTCCACTCCGCGTGCGGAACGATCTGCACAGACCTTTGCTCCCGGCATCTCCACGACACATCGCTGGAGATCGGGACATCCTATAAGCTCCTCACGTCAGCAAAGTGTGCTTGTGGCCGTGCAGGAAGAAGCAACAGAAGCAACGCAGGCATCGGAACCCCCGCACAGCAATCAACCTACCTCATCCGTCGAATACAGCATGAACCCCGGCAACGGCGAGCTGACGATCGAGGAAGAGCCGGCCACGATACTCGAGTAGCGCAGGACCCGGGCACTGATCACGTTCGCGCCGGCGGCGAGGTACGGGCGAATGTCCACCGTCTCATAGTACCACTTGCCGGGATGCGATTTGCAGGGGCCGAAGCTGACGCTGCGCCCGTTGACGAACAGGCGATAGCGACTATCGGCGGAGACGTGCACGAGGCATTCTTGGTCACTGCGAGCGGTTCCAGACCATTGGAATGTTTTGCGGAAAAGAAAGTATCGTCCGGGCTGGTTGTCCTCTTCCAGGTAGTGCGGGACCCAGATCCATGGAGCGGACAGGGCCCAATTCGTGCTGGTCATTCCTGCTGGTGGTAGTGGTGTTGCACCTCAGAGGTTCGATACATGATTGTGAGGGAGAGGTGGGCGTTGGACAAGGATGGATTGATTGGATTTAAGGAACAGCCGTGGGGAGCTCGGATAACCCGCTCGGTCAACCATTACCCCGGATGATCCCCCCGCACTCGGCTATTCCGGCTTTCTGACCAGCCCTCAATTGGCGGGGTATGTACTGGGTTAGGTACTACTACCTAGGTATAGTTTTGTGTGCAGAAGACTGTACGTAATGAGAGGCGGGGATCTATGCTCATGTTGCGCATTGTGCATTCTATGTCAAGCGTAATAGTACATCTAAGCATCCGCTAAATCCAATCAATCTACCCCCCTCACCCCCCCCCCCCGATGTGGTTTTATGTGGTTTTATACAAAATTCAAACTCTTCGAGCTTCTAGACGGATCGCCAATCGTACCGGTTGTAGTCCTCCCGTACCGCCTCCCCTTCCGGGACCTCCGTCGGATCAGCTGGGGTGGACCTCTTGTTGAAGGTCTCCGGCGGCGCCCACAGCATGTTCCAAACCTTGGGATTACGCAAGGAGCTCTGCGACTGGAGCGGGCCGAAGCGGAAGGTGCCTTCCTGTTCTCCCGACGGCAGACGCATGTAGTAGCGCATGCTGTCTGGGATCTCCTCACGGAGATGGCTGACCATGATGAGGGCCTGCTCATCGGAGAGACCGCCGAAGCGAGACTCCGGGCCAAGCCCATTTTCAAGGAAGTCAATGCACTTGTCGCGTAGACCGATGGACATTCCGGAGAATGGCTCATCGAGAATGACGATATCAGGTCGATGAATCAGAGCGCGCAGGAAAAGAACAAGCCTCTGAATGTCGACAGTTAACTGCCCAAATGTGGCCGTGTCGGCCCATTCCATCTCAACGCCAGGGGGATGAAAGTCCTTTCTGAAGTGGTGAATTTTGTGTAACGGGAACATCTTGCCGGTGTTTGCCGTAATGACCCCTTTTCTGCGACCTGGGGTATTGCGTGGGAGCGCGAGGGCAGCGCCGAGTTCAGGCTTGAAATGCTCCAGGACGGCTTCCACGTCCAGATCGCGCTCAAAGTTCATCTTCGGCCGCGACAGAAAGGTCTCAGCAAAGCCGGATTCGATGGCTTCACGCAGGGTTAGCTGACGGGGAAAGAAAGCGTGGACTTCGGGCGAGGAGTGACCGATGCGCCGCTGAACCTCAAAGATGGAGATGCCCGGTTTGCCCTCTTCAGGGAGACGTGAGCGGCCGAAAAGACGGACGGGAAGCGCATAAGTCTGAGGATGGTCGGAGGTGATGAGCGAGAGCAGCGTCGTTTTGCCGGATCCGTTGGCGCCGAGGATGGCCCAGCGCTGGCCGCGACGCACCGTCCAGTGGAGACCCTCTTTCGACTCGCCGTCAACAGACTGCGACCATTTGCCTAGGACCGCCTTGTCTCCATACTGCACGCGAACCCCTTCCATTTCGATCAAGGGCTCGCCGCCCCGGGGCGGATGGAGCTTGGGTGGCGCGGAGCCTTCGGACAGAGAAGATGGCGCAAAGCCCCTCAAAAACTCCTGCATGTATTCTCGGGTCACGCTCAATGACGATTTCACTAAACCCCTATGGTAGCCTCCTTCGGTGTTTTTGTTCAGCTTCTTGTAGCTGTCCATGACATCCTTCTCATACGGTGGAAGGGCATGAATGAGATGCGTGCCGAAGCGGCGGGACTGAGCAAAGTATGACCATACAGTAGTCAATTGCTGTGCAAGTGTGCGACGCCCCGCGTATATCGCGGCGTGGCCGTCGCCGAGTATGACAAGATGACTGATCCAGTCTGGCAACGGGTCTTGTGGGCGGAAGGCGAGAATCAACCGCGGTTCTGCCTTGCGGGCGAGGCGGCGGAGGAGTTCCGACATTCTTGTGGTGGATTCAGGATCAAGGCCCACTGAAGGCGATTTGAATCAGTGGGTGATTCGGCACCGGGGAACATGGGCCAGGAAGCGGACTTACTGAAAGGATCGTCAAGAAGTAGCACTTCCGGCTTGTGAAGCAGGGCTTTGGCGACCCGGGCTCGTCGCATTTGACCGTTGCTCAAGTTGGCCACCGGCATGTCCAGAAGCTCATCCAGCCGCAGATCGTCGATGACCCGGGCGAGCAGCTCCTCGTCATCGACGGTACCACCACGCTCCTCCGGGAGCGGGTTCAACGAGGTCTGGCCGCGGAGAAACTGGCGCACTGTCCAGTCCGTCTCCTCCCGCAGGCTCTCATACCGAGCACTCAGATAGGCGCCCCGCGTGCCCCCATTGGCTCCGGAGCCTTCCCCGCTAAACCCAAGGTATCTGATCGCATTCTGTGGGAATCGCGCTCGGGGGTTGCGCCGGGCGATCTCATCGCTGAGAAGGTACGGGTAACTCCGCCCGTTGGGGGGATCAGGTATGTATTTGCCGCCAAGGATCTCGAGGAACTGGGTCTTGTCAGAGCGCCCGACTATGGCCCAAGTCTGAGCTTCAAAATTGTCCTCCTCCAAAGGCTCGGTCGGCAGGGTAAAATCGACGCCTCGGAATATGGGCGCGTTTGTGCGTTGGGCTTTGTCTTGGGGCGTGGGAGCATTCTTGTAAAAGGTCGCGTTCTTGATAGAGATCAGCGGCGGAGAGAGAGAGGATGAGAAGCGGATCGATTGTGAGAGCGGTACTGACCGGAGAGGCCGTATTCTGCAGGCCCGCCGGAGCATGACGGTGCACGTATCAAAGAAACAATGCTGGAATTGAAGCAGAGTCAAGTCGATCTGAGCGCATGGTTGGATTTCGCCCTGATCGGCCGGTTTCGGTGGGGAGGAGAACTGCAGGTCCGCACGTGACGTCACGTGTATTTACTCATGCTATTGCCTCAGGCCGCCACGCTTGGAATTGGCCCGTGCTGCCACTCAGGTATCAGCAGATATTAATGTGTGAGATAGAAAATCATATCCGTACATTTTATGAAGGAAAAGATGTGATTCAATATTTACATGAAAGTTAAACCAAGTGAAGAGGAAGAAGAAGAAGAAGAAGACACAAAAAGACCAAAACCGAAGGCCAATGCGGGCTTAGCGCCGTTGTTCACCTCCCTGGACATTCTTCCAAGAACCCGCATAATGATGCGAGACCAGGTACGGGCCCTGGTCCTGGGGGTACCCGCCCTGCAGTGCTGCATATGCCGCCTGCGGCAAAACTAGCACGTCCCCGAGCAGTCTCGGCTCATGCAAGCTGGTGATATTGGACCGGTCCACCGTCTCGCCCAGCGTATGCGAGAGACTCCGGAGTAGCGCCACGGTGATGGCCTGCGGACCACTCGCGTCCACCACGTCGGGAATCATTTCCATCGTCACCCCGGAGAGCGAGACATTGTGCGATTGTGCGATTCCCTCCATTTGGTGCATCACATACTCGATCGCCGCCTCGAAGTGATTCAGCCTGGGTTTGGCCATCATCGTCCAACTGGCAAACTGCCATCCGTCAAACTCTAGTCCGACTACCACGTTGACCTGCTCCTTCACCCAGATGTTGCCGTCATCCTTGACAAATACGTCGGGAATCCATTCCGCGATAGGCGCCTCGCAAGTGACATCCAGGTCGCTCCAGATGCCCCCGTCGGCGTAGAGAATCAACAAGCGAAGGAGATCGGCGCGGATGATCGGAACCTGGATCTGTTGATAGAGATCTGCCACCTCGGGCCAGTCGTCCCGGAAGGTCTCTTCGACGTAGGCAAGAGCACCGTCGTCGGAAAGGATTTCGTGCCGGAGGGACGGGTTGAGCGCATGCCACGATTGGATATAGGTCTGGATGTCCGGAGAAACGCCTTTGGGACCTGACTTCTGCCACAGCTTCATAGGAAAGGCGGTTGGAGTTGGGGCGGGGGTTGGAGTCGCTGCTGAGACCGGGAGTGTGGTCCAGGTGGGCTGAGTGGCGCTCGTTGGTTCAGGTGACGGAGTAGAAGTCGGTGATAAGAAGGCCTGTTGTTGCTGATCCTGTTCTTGTTGCCCTCGTTGCTGCTGTTGGGCCGGGGTTGTATTTACGGCAAATGTACTAGTGACCACAGGCTGGTGGAGGACGCGGTGGAAGAGATAGAAGTTGAGGAGAAGAAGTGTCGAAAGGGCCAACGTGACCGGGCGGCTGAGCGAGAGAATCATTCTGATCGATTATTTGTTGTCGTGGAGGGCTTGAATTATATAGTGAATTGGTTCATTCCTTTTTGAGGCGTGCGGTCTGAAGCAGTAGTAGTAGCGAAAAGAGGTCTTGTCGGGTGATTGTGGCAGAGCGATAGTGGTGTCATAAAGATAGATGGTAAAGACTGACTGCACGGTTCATTGACCGATATAGCGATAGACAAGAAAGCAAAGCTAACGAAAAGGTTCGACACAAGCAAAGAAATAGGCTATAGGAAGATTAGGGGATAAGGTGGGATGGGATGAGGTTCATCCCAAGATAAAATGGGGGGGGGGGGGGAAGTGAAGTATCGAGTAAGTGACCACAAGAGAGCGAGGGCGACAACCTATAGTTATCTTTCATTCGGACATGACTGCATATGTAGTAAGATTAATGGATTTAGCCAGGGTTCGACTGGGTCGAAGGGTCGGGCTAATATCCTTTCTCCTTTTAATCTACTCGAGCAGATTGTGCTTAAGTTCGCTTTAGCGTAAATTGGATTTGCCTCGCCCATTTCCTGATAGGGGCGGTTTGGGTGAAGGCGGGCGACAAGTGGAAAAGCAATTGCGGGCTAGTCGTTCCAAGTCGGCAAGATTTGCTCCCTGAGATGGGCCTGTCTTACTTGTTGTGGTGCTGAGTACCGTATAGGTAGTAGGGTGGTATTTCTTGATTTCCACCAGAGTGGATCCTCATGGGTCTCAAGCAAATTGCTCGATCCGATGGGCAGATCCATTGGAACCGTTTCTTTCACTGGCCGGTGAGGAGTGAAGAGGGATTGAGAAGCCTGGAGAGCCGATCGAGGTTCCGAATCAGGGTCTGGCATGTTGGCAGGTTACAAGTTACAAGTTACAAGTTACAAGCTACAGCTGAGGGACCCTGGCTCGATCTCTGACATGCTAAGCATTTGATGGATGGAGCATGACGGGGTCTGAGTCTCTGAGTCGGACCAATTTGGCACGCCAGGTGGACGGGTTGGCCTGAGGCTAGACTAGTGGCGCTAAGAAGGAAGAAGAGGAAAAGGACTCGGGAAAAAAGGGTCTGAGCCGGTTCCGGATGCTGTCGCATTTGCTGATTTGTGGGTAACCATTTGGCTCACTGAGTTCCGTGGATTTAGCGAATGTGACCTCGTATTTTTATTTTTATTTTATTTTTATTTCTCCTAGGCTGATTGCTGCTGTCGTTGAGCGTGTGCTGCACTGCCGGGCAGTCAGTAAGTTAGCTAGTCTAGTCTTGCTAACTTCTTCGTAGTGCCCACGTCTCGCGTTCTGGACAGTCCTCGGCCCTTGCAGAGCGGAGCGGCAATGGGCGGTTATTTTTAGTCACCTTTTAGTCACCGGAAACCCGAAGCTAAGTTACCGTACGTACAGTACACATAGAATTCGCATGTGCCCATGATCAACTGTGACTTATGTACTGTATTTGGTACAAATAGGCCCTCGTTTCCTCGTTGATACTTATCCTGGGGCCTCAGAAGAAGAACAAAGAAAAACGGATATTTGGGCATATAGCAGGCAAGGTGGGAGGCGCGATGGCTTCCATGCAAACAACGCAAACAGGTCACCATCAGGAAAAGAAAAAGCGCCCCGTACACACTGATAGAGATTGACAATTATCCACAATTGTTCACTGAGCTGAGCAGGTTTCAAAGGAGCGAAAACAACGTTGCGCATAGGCCCTGAAATCCAGATGGAGGAGGGGTAAGACTCGGAGCCGCCCCCATTAATTCGGCCCCCAGTCTGCCGAGGAAAGGGGCCGTTTGTGGGTGGAATGGATAAGAAAGTGCCAGGTACTGTGTTAAAGTCCGAGTAGATGCTAGAGTCCAACACGCTTGGCAGTTTAATAATTGTGGCCGTGATAGGTTGATGCTCGGTGATGGTACATGCTCCCCGCATATTCCGAATCAGCATCGGCGTAGATCGTCTGCCGGCGATCCTCCTCGGGAAGGAGCTCCTTGACCTCCCATGTGTTGGGCTTGATTCCAACAGAGAACTCGAGGTCCTCTTTCGTGATATAGTCCCAGAACTGTATGCCGCCGTTAGTGATTCAGTCGGTCACAAAGAAATAGCGTGTGCCTACCTTGTACACCATCATGACTGCTAAGAGATTGCAAAGGGTTGCGAAGAAGAGTCCGTCCATATAGTGCTGTACATTGTCGCATATCGCATCGCTGAACGCATAAAGAAGGACCTGCCCGCATATGAAAACCACAAGGCCGAAAGCAATATGGCCCAACGGCCAGCGGTCCTCGAGAGTGTTGAGGACAAGCAGTAGCTGCATGACCAGGTAAATCACGATGAAGATGGCATTCACAAGGTACAGCACAACAAACATGCCGATGGTGTTAGTAGGACCGAGGCTGCCCCACGACTTGAAGGTCGCGAGGGAGACAAGGAAGGAGACGACAAACATGGCCGCCGAACTGAGTCGCACGAGCCAGACAGATAGAGTGGTGCCATCTTCATAGAGCTGGAACCCTACAAAGCCGTTGATGAGCAACGAAGTACAGAGTGCCGAGGCCAGGCCATTTTGCACAGCAGTAAAGTAAGGAAACGAGCTACTTCCTGGGGGGGTCACGCCTGCATCCAGAATCAAAGAACACATAGTCAAGAGCAGGTAGATGTAGAAGAAGGTCAAGATTTCCTTGCGGCCTGCATGCCATCATGGCACTTCGTTAGTGGATCTCACAATGCGACGGAGGGGATATACAACAGAGATGACAGGCTCATACCGACAGCAGTGAACTTCGACCGAATGTGCAGGATCATGATCACCGTCATACCAAGGGCGATAATATGGACAAAAGAAGCGGCGCCCTCAAAAATGATGGTATTGGCCAATTCGATGTTGCGCGCATAGCAGTTGGGAATGATGCCTGTTAAGCCGGATATCGAGGATGGAGGGCCCACCAAGGAGCACAGAGGCAATGGTGCCTTCTCACAAATTGAATCGAAGTCGCCGAACCCCATTTTGTCTTCGAAAAGTTCCTTGAACAAGAAGCGACGAGGAGGATAATGTCACCGGCGATCGCCTGGTCAGAAGAGGTTCGTTTGTAAGGTAAATAAGATGGGCGGGCCTCCGACCCGGTCTCCACAACAACAGGTGTGACAAAGAGTTGGGCCTCGCACTGCTCCTATTACCGGGCAGCGCCTGGAAGATGCCACACAGCTGGGAGGAGAAGAAGGCAGTGAGAGGGAGATCTCAAAACGAATGTGAAGTGGATCGTGAAGACCCTGTCAGGAGTGTCGGGGAAGAACAGATGGAACGCACACACGAGGGGCTCAGGGAGTGGGAAGATGAGCCGGGGACCCTCTTTCTTCTTCTTCCCCCGTCTGGTTTGCAATAGCGCAGCACATCACGGGGTGGAAAAAGGTGTGCTGCTATTTTAGGAATAGTGTGGGTGTGCCAGGTGGCTGACACACCCAGCACGTGATGACGGAGATACCCGCTATCTACGCCTGAGGTATCCGGCATCTCATGCTCTCCCGGGCCTGCGGTGGTGTGGACTTCCTTTTGTGTACAGTACCTTCATTTGTTTGTCTTGCCAACTACTCTACTCACAAAATATCTGGAGAGCAATCCCCCTCCAGCTGCATTCACTTCCTGTCTGCTGACTGAGAGCTTTGTTTAGCTCAGAACAATGGATGACAAACAGAAAGAATCAGGTCAAGCCTGATCATGTGCTTTGTTGTTTCGGTGAAAGAACAACTACGACAATGTCATTGTGGCCATCAACCAGATCATTCATGCTCAGATAATATGCTCTCTTTCTTGTCACAGCAAGTCCCGAGAGACGATGCCAGGTGGAAGGTTGTCTGCGGAGATCCGCTTCTATCTGACCTGCACAATTGAAGCTCAACCCGAGTCCCAGACGGCCTCCGGTATACTTCGGCAGCCATGGACAAAGGGCCGAATATTATAAGTAACAATTGTTCGCATCTTCCCCTCTCGTTGACCACCTCGATAGTCTGTCATGACCCAATATACCAAAACTTATCGGAACAACTGACTTCAAACGCACATTGCGACTTATTTATTCATTTCGAAGACCCCGGAGTCCGTGACTCGTGTGACATCAAACATAGACTGATCTGTTCCTCTCTCCACGAATGCCCCAAGAATTGACTAACCAATATACAAAATCAGAAGAAAACCTCAATATGTCGAACTACAACAACAACAACAACAACCGCAACAACAACCGGAACAACAACCAGAACAACAACAACCGGAATAACAACAATAACAACAATACTAACAATCGCAACAACAACGATAACTGGAAATATAACAACAGGAACAACAACAACAACAACAACAACAACAACAACAACCGGAACAGCAACAACTGGAACAACAACAATAACAACAACCACAACAACAACAATACCAAAAACAACAACAACCGTCTCTCTGTGCACGAACTTCAGCAGGACAAGGAGGTCCTCAACCATCTCCGCGACAGCAATGAGTCGCCTGAAGTTAAGGCTGAGTGGTTCTACCAGACACTCAACCAGAACAAGTCGCAGCTGACCCAGGCGGAGCAGCATGCGGTTGACCTCGACACGGAGAACACCCAACTCAAAAACCAGCTGCTAGCGCTGACCAATGCCCTGACCGAAACAGAGAAGCAATGGCGCCACAAAGAACAGGCGTTGCGCCAAGAGCTCCAGGCGAGCAAGAAAAAGAGCAAACGGCACGAGAAGAACTTTATCAAGTCGAAAAGGGAGAACGCGAATCTGAAAGTGAGGACCGCGAAGCAAGAAGAGCTGTTTAATCAGGCCCGGGAGAGGTGTCGACAGATGGGCCAAAATTCCAAGCATCGTGATAAGAGCTTGAAAGACTTGCAGAACCAGCTTGTGCGATACAGCAAGGAAGCAGGAGAGGCGAAAAAGGAACTGCATGAAAGTCTGCAGAGAAACAGCTATAGTGACGCAAGCGTCGAATCGCTGAACGACAAGTTGGAGGAGGAGAATTCGTGTCTGAATGAGAAGCTCCGCCGTGCAGTTCGAATGGCAAGTGCCCAGGACGACGCCCTGCACCTGGTTGCGAAGGGCAAGTCGAAAGAAGAGATACAGAACAACAACAAAAAGAATGGCAAGAATAACAGCAAAAGAAATAGCCAACAAGACGACGAGATGGTTGATGTCCTGGATGAAACGAGCCAAAGTCAAGCCCTGCAGGGATTCAGCCAGCGATTAGCGGCCTTTTCTAACTACGCCAAAAACTCCTTCGGGTTTGATACAACCCACGATCATGGCATGGCGGAGTCGTCGGCGGACCCGCATAATGACCCCCAGCCAGGGGAGAAATGGTGGCGCGCGGGGGAGCCAGAGACTGAGGAGGAGAAGAAAAAGAGAAAGAAGCGGGAGATCCCCGCGAGCATGGTTGCCCAGCTCTGGAACCGACCCCGTGAGAACATGCTGGTGGATCAGGGCTCCAGCGTGTGGGTGGAAGAGCCCCGGGTGCCGCTCTACCTGCCGCCGACCCCGACTGAGCCTCGATTCGAGGCGAGATCGCGTAAGCGGGGGTTCGCGGACTTCAATCTGGATGGCGAAGCCATGGCTCCGGACCCTATCCTGGAGATGGGCGACCGCCTCAAGCGCATGCGCATGGGCGACTTGGAATTCGACTTCGAGTGGCCGTCCCAGGCGCCGGAGAGCGGATTCATGGCTATCACGAAGATGCTGGACGACATGAACATCTCGCGGACCTATCTCGATGAGATCACCCCGGAGACGGCGCTCGAGCAGTTCCTGGTGGTTATCCAGACCGCGATGACGACGGAGATACAGCGGACGCCGACGATCGAGGAGCTCCTCGAGAAAGTGGTCTGGTACCTGAAGGAGGCCTCGGCCGTCAACTTCGGCCAGCTCCAGAGCCGGCTCCAGGACCAGAAAGCGCACCCAGCACCACCCCCACCGCCCTTGGTCCCCGAGGCGCGGGTCATCTCCGTCAAGCAGCCAACCGAGCAGGCGTCTACAGCCCCGACCAAGGTCCTCCCGCGCGAGAAGACCAAGTTCGTCGGCCCCAGCTACCTCCCGCCCACGCACAAGCCCACCATGCTCCGCAGCAGCTTCCCCACCACCGCCAAGGAATGGACGAAGCTGTCCGCCATTCAAGACTACCGGGAGGAGGCCGAGGTCAAGAAACCCGCCGACCCGTCTGAGTACGAGTATGTCCTCCAGTCCCACGAGGTGCGGGACTTCCGGAAGTTCAGCGGCGCGATCGACTTCGACCCGCCGAAGAAGCGCATCTGGCTGCGGCGGCTCGGCTACGTCGGGGGGTTCTGCGCCTTGGCCTACATCGCTCTGTGCCGATGCAAGACGGCGCAGAATCCGGTCTCGCCCTGGATGGACTCCAATGAGGTGCCCCTGCAGCTCTTGCAGGTGTTGCGCAAGCGCCACTTCGACGAGCGCGAGATCGTGCAGATCATGCGGTATGGTGCGGCGAAATTCGCGGATCTCAATCCGGGGATGCTGGGCTGAAACTATACGGTAAGTTAATGGGTGGCATAGAGGCAAAGTGGTCAGAGGTGGTCGGCTGGATCACGCCGACCCTGACTCTTGGGCATGGGGATCCAAGTATGCGTAGCTCGTGATCTAGATAGACCTATACCGGCAGTAGCGGTGAGTATGGCCATGATGCTATGAGATCAGGTAATACGTACAGAACCTATTAGACGACCGAGCCCACCTCTGCAGACACAACGACTGCAGCGTGATGTAGATGGTATAGAACAGGCGTCGGATTGAGTGGGAAGGCCTCGGGGAAGGGTAATATTAATCTTGATTAATTCGCTGCCCGAAGCTAGTATTTTCTTTCATCACAGAAGACTTGCAAATGTTCCCATAAGAGCCATCTTTCTTTCCCAAGGAATCTATTCATACATCTAATCATAAACACATGTCGGCCCTTACAAATCAATGAACAAGCGTATTAGAAAGATTATCGTTTCTTAGCATACTCCGGCTTCAACGTCCACTTGCCGCGTCGGCTGCGGCCCCCCTTCTCCAGGACGGCAATGGTGTTGAGCATCTCCTTAAACTCGGCGGTCTTCTGCGGCGTCGTGCAATGGTGGTTGAACTGATCGATCAGCATCTGCGTGTAGACCGAGCCGCCATGGGCGGTGATGAAGTCGCGCAGCAGGGTGATGAAGTCGATTCCACTGGGCGTACCAGCAGCAGCAGCAGCAGCAGCAGCCCGCGACGACGACAACGGGGCCGGGCTGTTCGTGTTGCTTCGCGAGGCGGGGGAAGGTCTCTGCGAGGCAGCAGTCGCAGAAGAGGAAAGATTGGCTAGGATGCTAGCGGACGAGGGGCCGGCGCCCGCCCGTCTCGCGCTGCTGCCGCCGACGCCTCTTGCAAAGGGGGAGGATATCCGCTCTTCGGGTCTGCCGGCCACGCCGAACTGGCCGGTCCAGGTGGGTGTGCCGATGGGGACGGAGCGGGCGGCTTCCCCGGCGCGCCGGAGCTCTTCCGCTGCTTCGGCGGCCACGCGCTTGGCTTCGGCCTCGATGATCTTGGGATCGGCCCGGACGACGCGTCTGCCGTTCAGGATCTGGTCGTGCTCGAGGGCGGAGTGCACGCCGGAGCGCGCGAAGATCTTCTCCATGATGCGCGCTTCTTGGTTTGCATTGCCGGGCCCGCCGGCGGCGGTGGAGGGTTCGGTCTCGTTTTGTGGTTGCTGCTGTTGTTGTTGCTGCTGCTCCTGTTCGCCCTGGTATTCTTCGATCGAGGCAACGCCCGCCGCTTTGCGGATGTCCCTCTTCTCGTCTTCGACGTCTGCGAGGTTTGCAGCGGCCGTTGAGGCTGTGTTGTTGTTGTCGCCGTTCTTGAAGGTCGTGGCTGCTGTGTCTTTGAAGATCTTGCTGGTCTCGGTGGCCCCTTGGTTATCCTCGCCAAGGGAGAATAGATCGTGCAAGTCGCTCATCTGGAAGGTCTGTCGTTGATTGGGGTCCTTCAGGATCTTGTTGGTGAGGAACTGCTTGAAGATCTGACGATGGTAGATCTTTTCCTCGATGGTTCCGGCCGTCATCAGTCGATAGATCGTGACGTCCCGCTTCTGCCCGAGTCTCCACGCCCGCTCGCGGGCTTGCATATCTGTAGATGGGTTCCAGTCCGGATCGTAGATGATGACGCGATCCGCACCGGTGAGGTTCACACCCAGTCCGCCGACCTTGGTCGTAAGCAGGAATACGTGAAGGTCTGGGTCGTTGTTGAACTCATCGACCATCGTCTGCCGATGCTGGATCGGGGTGGTGCCATCCATTCGGCGGTAGTTGAATCCAGACATCGCCCGCACGAACTTTTCCAAAATGTCTAACATGATTCGGTGTTGGCAGAAGAGTAGCGTCTTGTGTCCAGTGTCCTTCCATAGTTCAAGCAGTGATTTTACGACCTGCATCTTGCCAGATCTGCTGCCGCTTCCGTAATCCTTTGCCGAGGACTGGAGTTTGTGGCTTGGTAGGTCGGGATGGTTGCAGATCTTTCGCAGGATATCAACGCCGTACAGGACTTGTCGGCGCTTGTTGAGGATAGCTTGCATCTCGGATGAGCCAAGGAATGCCTCGTATGCCTCTCGTTGCACCTTGGTCAGTTTACAGAAGAGAACCTGCTCGCTCTTCTTCGGAAGGTCTGAAGCCACGTCTATCTTGAAGCGCTGCAGAAGGTAGGGACTGATAGCGTCTTTCAGAGTCTCAGCACACTTGACGGCGGTTTGAACCTGCAGGTTCGAAGCGTTTGCATAACCACCTTGACGAATCGGGAACTCGAATTGATTGCGAAAGTTCACCAAAGTTCCCAGCCGCATCGGGAAGACAAAGTCGAATAAAGACCAGAGCTCCGTGAGGTTATTCTGCATGGGGGTGCCTGAGAGAATGATCCGATGCGGCGTGCGAAGCTCTTTGCAGTGGATCGTGATCGAGGTATTTGGATTGCGGATCTTGTGGCCTTCATCCAGAACAGCGCAACCCCACTCAATTGGTATGGCAAGAGAAGCGTAAGTCTGGAGACCTGAGTAGGTCGTTACTAGCACATGTCCTTCCTCGACCACGCGCTTGACGACTTTGCGCGCCGCTTTCAGACCATTAGGCATACGTCGAGAAGTGGCAGCATTCCAGGCTTGGGACAGCAACGCGTCCTCCCTGCTACTTTCATTTCGAAGGTTGACCATCCCACTACCGGAGGTGTGTAAGATGGAAACGCGAAGGGGGGGCCACCAGCGGTGGAACTCGTTCACCCATTGCTTCATGACTGTTGCGGGGCACACGATGACCACGGGCCGAGTGAGCTGTTTGCTGTAATGCAGACCAGCGATGAACGCAATCACCTGAATGGTCTTGCCCAAACCCATCTCATCACCAATGATACCACCAACCTGCTGCTGTTGCAACTCCCACAGCCACTGTACTCCAGTCCTCTGATAGTCAAACAACAAGGCATGGATATCGCCAGGTATACGATATCCATTGTCATAATGCATATCAGGGACAGTTGGGTGAGGTTTGAACCACTCGTCCTGTTCCTGATCTTCGTCGGAAACCGGATCTTCGTTCATGACATCGTCACCATCTTCTCCTGAATGCTGGGTCTTACGTGCACGTTCTCTTGCCGCACTCCTGCGACTGACCCACGATTGTAGTCTTGTTTGATACACTGTCTCGTTGCCATCGTCCAGCCCGGTGAAGTCTTCAATATCTTCAGCAGACGTCTTCTTTTTCTTCTTCTGGGACATTGCTCGCTCTGACTGTCCTTCAGGAGCCCAGTCTTCTTCATCCTCGAGTTGGGACTCTTCACCGTCTGACGCCACATAATTGGAGTCATCATCTTTCTCCGACCGAGTGCCATCGGGAGCTTCTGAGCTATAGCGCAAATCCTCCTGTTTCTCATGAATCTTCTTAGAAAACTGCTCATGCCCGACCTTTCTTCGCTTTGCACTTCGAATGTCCGCAGACACATCTGTGCTGTCAGGACCACTGGACACGTCGAAATCAAAACCGGGTTGCACCAGGTTCCGATGTGAGACTGCCGATCGAGCCTTGAAGCGCTCCAGGGCCTCTGCCTCATCATGCTCATCCTCGGCGTCAATGAGAGCGTCCTGCAGACTAGCAAGAGGACCATGGTCGGGGCCATGACTCATGTTCATGAAAGGGGTGATTTTCCCCGTGCGAATGAGGTAGTCCCGGCGAGACTCGTTCGGCAGACGTCCGATTCTCGAGGCCTCGCCACCGCCCTCTTGCTCTCGACTTCTATCGACGATGCGCTGCTGGATATCGACCAGGTCATTGGCCAACGCCGTGTTGCGTGACTCGAGGGTCTGAAGTTCATTCTGCGCGCGAACCCTCCCCGCGGTCCCGATGGGCTGGGATAGCCGCTGGTGGAGTTTCAAGATCTGTGACTCGACCTTCCTGCGAGAACAAGAGTGAGCGCCGCTCTACGAAGAATAGCACGGAGGGGGGCCAGAGTTATCATACTGTTTCTCGCGGGTAGTCCGCTCCAGTCTCTTGTTGTCGCGCTCATCGGCCTGTTCCAGGAGCAGCTTGTCTGCCTACGCGTACGGTCAGTAAGTAATGCGTCCAGAAGTGTATCGCATGTGGGGCCATGCTACTTGCCTGGCGGGCGATATCTCGCTCCAGATCATCCTGATCACGGACATCGGCCTGCAGCTCTTTCAAGCGGCTCGCCTCGTTGATCGCCACGGAGGGTCCGGAAGACTGTGCAGATGTGACAGTTGCATCAGACGGCTCCGTTGGCCTTTCTTCCACAGGGTCTCGGGCACTCGAGCCTTCCGCCTCGTGCTTGATACTTGTTTCGTCATCCATGAATGGATCGGCGGTTAATCATATCCCTTGAGGCCCAGGTTTGCTGCTTTTCCCTGCACGATTACAGCTTTCATGCGAGCAGGGGATCTCGCGGCCTTGCAGTAGTCTTGGAAGTTCAGCCCAGTGATCTGATCCAGGATGATGGTGGAGCCTTCAGGTGGGTTGCTGTGCTGTAGAGCAACACACTGTGAGCGATGACCTAGGCGGTGATCGTTTGTGCCTGAGATCTCAGGTTACGGTTGCCCAGAAGTTTGGCTCTGATCACGTGCCTGTTGCCTGTGCAGTACGTCATTTCCCTACTGACTTGGGATGCTTGTAGCACAGCAGATAGTGAGTGCAAGTACACAAGTAGCTTAGACCATAAAAAGCATGGCTATAAGTCATTTCCTGTTCAACTGTATCGGCAAGATTGCACGAGTATGATCACTGATCGCCTAGCGGGTTGCCTGCTTCTGCTGTGTAATTATGCTCATCCAGCTGCAGCTATCCTTATAAGTTAGTGCCAGCCATCGCGAAAAGAACTTCTTGAATACTGTGGTGCTGGACTCCCATGAACGATATCTTATTCTGGCTTTGAAAAGCTCGGTTCCACAGCTGATAGCGGTCGGACCAAACAGCATGGCATTAGACCGCTTGCGCGTCCATCTCCTTGAACTAAGATAACGTAGCGGGGAACTTTTACACTATCGAACGATGGATCCCCTCGATTAGGGGCGACCTTCAGCATACATGTTCCTATAGTTTAGTCTAGTCAACTCACCCAACGATCCACACCATCAAAAAACTTACCTGAGCAAGAACCAGCGACAACCCTTACCGTACACACAAACCACATTTCACGACTCCGTTGACCGATCGCAAATATCCTCTTCACAATGAAAGCAGCACTAGTGGTCGTCGACATGCAGGAGGACTTTTGTCCTCCCGTACGTTTCCCCTTCCCCCCCAAAGAAAAATCTACGAATCCAATCTACGAAAAGTACGAGATAAGAAGGCTAACCCCCGGGGAAAAAAAAACAGAACGGCTCCCTAGCCGTCGAAGGCGCGCGCGACCTCGCCCCAACCATCAACACGCTGCTCGCGCACCGTGGCTTCAGCTTCCGAGTCTCCTCGCAAGACTACCACCCAGCGGACCATATCTCCTTCGCCCCGAACCACCCGGCGCCCAACAATATCCCCTTCGAGTGTACCATCACGCTCAGCAACCCGGCGCCGGGCAAGCACACCGAGACCAAGCCCCAACGGCTGTGGCCGGTACACTGCGTCGCGGACACGTCGGGGGCGGCGCTGATCCCGGAGATCGACGCGGCGCGCATCGACCTGTTCGTCAAGAAGGGGATGGACGCGCGCGTGGAGATGTACTCGGTGTTCGCCGACGCGTTCGGGAACCGCAACAGCCTGGAGCTGAACCGGCGGTCGGTGGATTGCGATCTCGAGGCCGAGCTGCGGGCTCGGGGGGTTACGGCGGTGTTCTCGGTGGGTGTCGCCGGGGATTACTGCGTCAAGTGCACGGCGATCGATGCGGCGAGAGCCGGGTTCCGGAGTTATTTCGTGGAGGATGCGACGCGGTGCGTGGATCCGGTGGTCGGGTGGGAGGAGGCGAGGCGGGAGTTGCGCGAGGCGGGGGTCGTGATCGTGAGGTCGGATGGGCCTGAGATTGCGGGGTTGGTCGGTTGATTCGATGCGTCTCTCTGTTTGTATGGTAATAGTTAGACGGAGGAGGGGGGTTTCAGGGGGTAGTGAGTTGGTTGGGATTCTTAGGAAGGCGGATGGACGGATTGGTGACTGGGCTGGCGCTAAAAGAGCCCCCCGAGGGCCCGAATGCTTGGGATTGTCCTTGCCAAGGGAAAACTGTTATTTTGTGGGGAACAGTGAACTTGGCACGTCATTTCTACCACTACCATTTGAGTGAGGTTATTAGTATACTACCTAATGTTTTGGGCGATCATTGAAGCTGGCCAAATTCGGACCTGTTCCGTCATACCGTGTGCGGCCTGTAGGGGAGAATTGTCCAGGCCCAATCATCGAAATGCTATCACGCACAGTGTTCTGTACAGTAATTAGCTTACATGTCTGATGACAGCCTCTGTACTCCGGATGCGGGCGATGATCTTCACGGCCCGGGGGAAAGCAGAACCATCAACCAGAAACTTTGAGTGAGTCGTTCGTTACCGAACGTCTCTACCTATTGTCGAGCCAGATTTATGCTGGAGAAATATGGCATCCAAGTGACACACCATATGGTTTTCACTAAGCTAGATAGACAAGAAATACTCCTGAATGAGCAACCCACTCTACCTACCTAGTACCCCTAACAAAGGAGGTGACAATAACTTATAGTTACACTCCACTCTATCGGTAGACACAATATCGACGCCTCATTCAGGAATGCACAGCGAGTCAGGGGGTCGGCGTCTGCCTTGATTGACTGCCTCACCTACCTATGATTACCATCACTGGCAGTTGCACTCTTCCCCGGGGCCCTTCTTTTCTCAGCCCTGCACATCCATGCCTTTTCCAATGATCGCCATTAGTTGCCACTTCCGGACCCGCCGCAATCAATCCCCGTTAAGGTCATACCAACAGGGTCAGAATAAGGTTGACAGTGAAAGCTACGGGGGGTAAAACCGCACCTACACCTACACCTGTTAAATGACTTTCCCTCCTCCCTCCGCCTTCTCTCTCTCCCTTCTCACTTACCTGTCAAAGCTGTATATACAGCTCGGCAGCTCCTTTTTCTGTGTCCAGGGTTCCTCCCTTTGTGCTCATTTCCAGCCACACATCCCAAATAAACATTTCCGCCCCAAAAACCCTCACTTTACCTTAATCCCGAGAAGATGTCACCCACGGTCGCAGCAATGCCGACAGCAACAACGGCCTTCCCCCCGCGACAGAGACCGGGATACCTGACCGAGAAAGGCCGCCCCCTAGCCACCGTGGCCGACTCCCCCACACCAACCATCCAGAAGCACAACGCCCCCAAAGACGAAGCCCCAGAAGAAGAAGCACCCCTGCCCTACTGGCTCACCAACATTCCGCGATCCCAATGGCCCCCCTCCTGTCCCAGCTACCTCCGCGACATCTCCCAGAAGAACATCGAGATCCTCTCGACCCCGGACCATCTCTACCAAAGACAGGGGTGGGACCTCGTCACAGAGCTCGTCCGTATGTGCGTTGCTATCGTTGAATCTCGTATCCACGACGCCGTAGCGTGTCACTGGCAGACAACCGCTAACTTAAAAACCCCCGGTAATAATGGCAGGCACGAACCGAATCGACCGCTTCCAGCGCCTCCCCAGCGATCTCCGCCGGTACCTGGAGTACAAGGCGCGGATCGTCGCCGAGTACGGGTCGATCATGCGCTTCGTCGTCAAGGAGCGATTGCGGTGGGGGGAAGGCTTGCAGAGTGATTTGCGCGCCAAGGGGAGGCCGTTTGAGTTCGATGGTTCGCCCAACAACAAAGCCCAGCCCCCTGTCCCCAACCAGTCAAAGCCCGTATAACCCGCTAACCTCCTGATCCAAAAAAAAAAACACAGAGGACCTCCGCATCCTATACAACGACTGGCCATACGGCCTGGAGCCGGATATCGTGCACCTGGTCGTGTGGACCAAGTTCCCGCTGGAGGACGATCCGGTCGTGGATGATTTGACGCCGCGCGCGCGGCGCGAGATCGACGGGTTCGTGCGGCGGACGTTCCATGCGAGGATGGCGCCGGAGCAGGTGAGATTTTCTTTTTTCTTTGCTGAGTTTTCGGCGGGAGCGGCGGGGGGGGGAAGGGAGCGCAATGTTTTGTTAACAATAAGATGCTTCAGGTGATCTGGTTCCGGAACTGGAGGTCGCTCAAGTCGGTCCATGCCGTCGAGCATTTCCATGTCATGTTGTATCGGCCCCCGGCCGCGTTTTTGGAGGAGATTACCCGCGGCGATTTGCCGGCGCACGTGATCGGGTAGCCTAGCTGGTCTGTGGAGGATTGAACGGATCGGAACCTGAATCATGGCGCTGTCTGGCTTAGACTTGCTAGAGGTGGATTGGCGTTGGAAGATTATTTGCTGGTGTGATGAGTATACAAAGCTTTTTTTTCTTTTTGAAACTACAATCGCCCTACATAGTAACATCTGTTGCATCGGCTCACAACCATAGAAACACTAGCACACTCAAGAACTATGCTACTGATTTCGGGAATACTGCTACTGAATCACTCATCTTGAACAAAGAAAATATTGGATTTATTTTAATGATTATCATGGTATATACTGCAGATTCTATCGGTTGGCTTGGCAGAGCCACCGCCTGCCAAGCGCAGGATGGAAATTATGCAAGGTCAAATGTACTTTACAAGCTCCGCTAAAACCCGTCATATCCAAGCTTCACGAGGAAATAGGATTAGACAGTCAGAGCTGAAACGAGGGAAAGAAGAATGGCCCCAAGGTGGGCTGATTGACCAGTAGAAGCCAAACACTCTACCATCCAAAGATGTCGCCAACGCTGAGTATGCTCCACCGCACACCGGCCACGGAGAACAAGATAAGAACAATGTCGACGACACTCAGCACAGCGGCGCCCATCATGAAGCGGGGGCTGAAGATCCGATACAACATGAGGTGACGGCGCAGATGGCCGGCCCACATCGTGGTTGCTACGTTGATGGTGGCGAAATACAGGATGTAGGTGCTCGCCGCCTGGATGGCGTCGGAGAGGATGCGGATCGCTGGGTTGCTCGCCTTGCTTGTCGACGTGGCTTCCTCGCTGAGTTGCAGAGGTCGCTTCCACAGGACGGTCAGGGGAACGGCGACCGCGGTGAGGATCTGGGGACCGAAGGTGTTGAGAACGACGAGGATCGGGGACCAAGGGTACTGCACCGAGGACAGCGGAATGAAAGCGGACTCCCACTGGATGCTGCTCAACGTGGCTTGGTGACCCGTCTTGAAATAGTAGAATGACCCCAGCACTGCCAAGATGATCGGTCCGATCGACGAATTGCTAGTCACCAGGCCGTTGGTGTCGAGGATTTCGAGCAAGGAGAGGATCTGCCAGAGCAGCAGCCCCATCGCGCCCTGGCCCATGGGCTTCTGCATAAGGATGATACCTAGGCAGAAGTTGACGACCAAGAGGAAGTACCGCGTTCCGTAGACGTTGCCGAA